CCCTACAAGCATAACACCCACACAGGGCGTCCTTAAACGCCCTAACGAAGGACTGCACCCAAACTTGTAACCATATGGTAAATGTGAGCATCTCTTGAGGTCATTCGCACTTCTTCCTCCTATGCAGCAGCAAGCCCTTGCTGCTACTGCAAGAAAGGCCAGCTTACGCCCTTCTTGGCAGAGAAACCCCACCCCTTATCTCCTTCCATCCAGCCCCATCTCTTGAAGCCATTCAATGAATCAATGACCATCAGCTCCAACCTTTCTTCCATCTCTCCGTCCTTCCCCACCTCCATAGTCACCTGCTGCTTTCAAGAGCTTGATTCCATTCCTCTTTTCTCATAACTGGCCTCGGATTATAAAGAGGCATCAGACCCACGTCCCCCATCCACCCTCAACCCTTCAACCTCCACATGCTAACTGCTTCAAGCCACAGCACATGCTAGTGTGTGCACCCCTCGCCTCTCAAGTCACCCTTCAACCCCTCCACCTCCACATTCATCTGCTCCTCCTCCGTCCCTGTTTTCCCGCTCCTGTGTGCTATCCTGTCCCACATTTTCTTAGCGATCTTCGTCTTAGCGAGGATAGGAATGAGGGTGAGCACGGCCAGTAGGCAGAAGATGGCGATCGTGGCAGGATCGTAGAGGTCTGTAACGGAGTTGATTGTAGAGAGTACGCACCCAGCCTTCACTTGCACCACGTTGTATGGGAAGAAACCCAGGAACGTGCCTATAACGAAGGTTGGGAAGGGAATTCCAACCACTGGAGCACAGAGGTTAATCACCCAGGAGGGAAGCACGGGTGTGATTCTAAGGAAGATGATATAATAAACGAGACAGCTCTGGTTGCGCTGCACTTCGCGTCTCAGCCAATCGCAGCGCTCCGTGAAGTACGAGTACACCACATCGCGAAGAATAAGAAGCGATACAGCGTAGGAGAGGCACGCGCCGATGGTTATAAAGAGCGAGATAGTAAAGAGCCCGAGCGGGAAGCCGAAGAGGGACCCCGCTAAGATGTTGCAGAGGAGGGTTCCTGGGATTAAAAAGGTTTGAATAAAAAGGTAAAAGTTAACGAAAGTGAAATACACTCTGGTGGGGTATGCTGCCATGTAGAGGTTGAGTGTAGATCGCATGGATTGGAGGTCTGAGATGCTGTGGGGAAAGTGGAGCGTTGCGTATGCGACAGTTGTCGTGTTGCTGTTGGAAGATTCGGAACCAGGCGGATATGGGTTGGATTCTGTGGCAGATGCGTTGAAGAGGGAATCATCTGGTGCAAATAACGACACGCTGCCCCCGCCGATGCTGCTGTTGCTGCTGCTGCCGTTGGCGGGATATTCTTGGCCTAACGGATCCATAACTAGGGTTTCATTGCTCGGGCTGCTGCCGTTGCTGTTGCTGCTAAAGCTGCCCGGAAAATTTCCGCTGCTCATGAACCCGTTCTCGTTGATGCCGCTGAGCTCGCTCCCATTGGTTGCGACCCCACCAAAAGGCGTCGCAGGCGACTGCAATGCGACCTGAACGGTGGCGATAGACGGCAGCGTTACGAAGCTGACGACGACAATGAGCGACCACCCGAGAAAAAGCAGCAGGAGGCAGGAAAGCCGGCGACATAGTTCCGAACCGACGCCCACGGAAGCAGGAGAAACGTCAGGATAGCCGGAAATTGCGACTATGGCGGGATCTTCTACGGATTTCGGTCGCAGGACGACGGTGCTACAGTCGCTGCGACAACCGCCCTTGCTGCCGCAACAGTCGGAGGTGACGGAGTCGGGAGTGATAGAAACGGGGTCCAGCGTGATGGTAACGGTGTCGTCCCTGATCGGTTTTAACCTAGCGTGGGCGGAGTCTATGTTAAGACAATGTATTCTGTCGCTGATGCCGTCGCTGCTGCTTCTTCTGCTGCTGCAGCCACTTCTGCTACCGCCGCCACCGCCGCCGCCGCTGCCGGTGTCGTCAAAGCAGTGACTGGATTCGAGGCCGAACGGGCAGTTGACGAAATCGGCGTTGTCGTCGGCGTCGCTTGCTACTCCGCCGGGGTTCAGCCGCGCGGTGCTCGGCGAATCCGGATCGCGTGAGTGCGACATTGCGCTCGGCGACGTGCGACGTGCGACGTGCGACAGGAAGTGCGACGGGCAACGATGAGTCGCCTGCGGTGACGTCGGCTTTCCCACAAAATAAGTCGACGTGCGGGGATAAATCAGAAACTTCTACGTAGAAGACGAGGGTGTATAACCTAGACGAGGCCGCATACTAACGAGATAAGACTTAGCCAGCAGCATAGGGCTCGAACTGGGGAACGAGGAAGGAAGGTGGCTAGGAAAGCGGCGAGAATCCGTGCCTGCTGTGTCGAGTCCAAGCAGTCGAAAATGCAAGAACCCGCTGGCACTAACAAGCGAGTTAGTCGGCAGAATCTTTACTGAGGATGCCTAGAAACATAGGGAGCATAGAAGCAGACTTGATAAAACTAACGACGTAAATATGGATGGACGGACGAGGAAGTTATATAGGCCAAGAAGACGTGAAGTGTGGGTGCCTCGGTAGTCATCGAGAACTTCTAGGTCAGGGCAGGTATGGGCGGAGGAACTGCCACTACTGTACAGGTTTGTTCTCTGGGCCTTGCTTGCCTCGGCAGGGCTTCGTGAGATTCCAGAAAACCGGCAGAGCAGAACTGATGCACTCTCACCCTATCCTACCTACACATACACCTTGGAAGTCGGGCTTGGAGGAGTTTCGAACTTGGTTCGGGAGCTTAGGTATTCCAGGACTCCGGCAACTTCGGCGGTACGGGTGATGGGGCAAGTGAGGTATGGGTGCGCATCTGGTTAGCGCAACGAGGCACGGGCCCTGGCTGGGTGAAAGGGGGCGCCGAACGCGGACCAAACCTGGACCGAAGCCAGCACGTAGTTTCAGAGGCAGAAGCTGAAACGTTGACGCGGACTCACGACGAACCGCGAGTCCGCGACAAGAGAGGTGCGCGAGTGTGAGCTTGGGGGGAACGAGCCTTGTGGAAAGAGGAGAACGGGGAAGACGGGACAGCAGAGAAGAACGGGGAAGACATCAAACCGAGACAGCTCTGGCTAGGATGAGGTTTGGTAGGTGGAATAATGGAAGATAATATGCGCGAAGCCTTGGAACAGAGTTGACCCGTTTTGCCTCAAAACGAAATATTTTTGTCAACTCTGTACAGAGTTGAAACTGTGCTCGAGTCGAGAACCTGAAGAAAATAAGAACACCAGTTTGTATCTCAAGCTACTTATAGTTTTTCAGAACCGAACACCGAAAGAAACTTTCAAGGAAACTTCTCATGATAATCTGTCTCCGAACCCAAACCTGCCTGAAAGTGAGGGAATATAGAACAGGTTCGGCTTCGGTCCCCTGACTTTCAGCTCGAGGGGAATGTGATGGTCTGGGGCGGGAACACCCTCAGTCACAACCACTGTCAGTCACAGTTTGGTGGTTGTGGTGTCAGAGAGTTCTGATCTGGGCAGGGTGGAGGAGAACACCTCACCAAACGCGTTTTGATGAAGCCAACGAACATTTCACCAACCGTACCACTCGGCAATAGCGGTCGTGCCAGAGAGATTCGAGGGCTACATGGCAGCAATAGAAACATAAGGAGCTCCATAACGAGAAAATATGGAGATGCGGGGTATCGATCCCCGTGCCTCTCGCATGCTAAGCGAGCGCTCTACCATCTGAGCTACATCCCCAGCTGGCGTGAGAAATTGATTTTTGTTCGACTTGGGAGAGTGCCCATCCAAGTGCCAGTAGAGTAGAACACATTTGTAGCTTAGGACCGGAGCTATTGAGCAAAAAATTGAGGCCCTCATAAATGACTACCTGGTTAAATCTGGAACATTGAATCCCCCCCTCCCGCTACAATTTCAAAATCTTTCTGCCTATCCAAATCGCACGATTGCGGACGCCCATGTAAGACCAGCACCAAAACCGGCCGTTGCAATAACATCTCCGGCCTTCACTTTACCGCTGCGCACAGCTTCGTCAAGAGCAATGGGGATGGATGCTGCGCTCGTATTGCCGTAACTGGCCACGTTTGAAATCACCTTCTCGTGAGGAATGCTCATTTTAGTTGCCACAGCATCCATTATCCGTTGATTGGCCTGGATGGTGACACAGGAGGAATAGTGAAGTTAGTTGTGCAATAGTGACTGAGGAGCAGAACCGAGTGGCATGGAAAGGAGACTTTGACACCTGGATCAGAGGGAATAGGTGCAACAGCAATGCACAGCTGCATGGCATCTACTGTAGATAACATGTTTAGGTTGGTAAGATGCGCAGTGAAGATCTGAATGGTAGGAGGCCCGTAATGAAAGTAAGCGAACTTCATTACGAGCCTAATAGTGTGTGGTAACTTCTGATTGGACTTTTGTTTTTTTTCGTGCAAGTTGGTACTTACCCCATTGCTCCAGGTGCCTACAGTCCATAACAGAGGAACAGGTTACCTGTTGTTTCCATGTGCTACTTGAGTGCGTGCAAAACAAGACAGCTACCTGATGCAGCAGAAGCCAGTCAATGTCGTCCGTTGAGAGTTCTGCCTCCTGAAGTGCTGCTTGTAGGACCTGCAGGGACAAGAGGCAGGGTGTGGTTGTTTGTGGGAAGGGAGAAGATGTGAAGGTGAAAAATGAAAACATACAGCAGGTCGGGAATCTGCCTGTATGGCATGACGGTATGAGGGGGTACAGGGAGGAGGGGTAGGGGAAGAATGGGGCTAAAGTGGGAAGAGATTTTCAGCAGCACACGCGCAATACATCTGTACTTTGAGGGGGGCATGTCACAATGACAAGAGTCATGGTAGTGAAGGCTCTATGAGTCCGTCCATGCTTGATTTTGTTATGGCCACGAATCAGAAAGTCATGACCCCTGCCCTTTCTTTCGGCTGCTATGGGCAATGGAAGTGTTTTTTTGAGGGGTCTCGAACCATGGATGGCAGTGATACCTGCCTTATCATGGTTGTGTTGCATACATTGGGCACGGAGGTGCCTATCGACAGACGCGTACCTGGGGCACGGAGGTGACAGCGAACTTGTAGACCTCCTTGCCGTTCATCACAATGGGGGTCGCCACCGCCCTCCCTGCAATAGACCCGCTCTCTTCTGGCGCCGGTGTCACACTGAAGCACGCGTGCAGGTGCCTGGCGAGGGTGCATCAGGAAATTGACAGGAGGGAGAGATGGGGAGGATGAAAGGCATGGTTTATGGTCGAGCAAGCAGCTTGCTGCCTCGCTGCTGCAGTGCAGCTAGCGTTAAGCTGTAGCAGGCTGGTGCACTTGCGGAAGAATTCATGGGGAGTCAGTCAGTCGCAATTGAGTTGAGACCAGGGGTTAGCAATGAAATTGGCCCGTCTTTTATGGATCGGGTCTATGCTGGGCCGTCGTCGTTACGCTGGAGCACAGTGCTAACCATCACTGTCAGGCACTGCTTGCTCGTAGTCGGGCTTCGAATCACCAATGCAATGCACCTAGCGCCAAGGAGTTCCCAGAACTATGTACCATTGCCATGCTCGTCGCCATGCATATGGAGTCCAGGCAAGCCATCGCCACTCCCCTAGTAACTGTTTGCAGCCAGATCTCGTGTCCCTGGATGATGTACCGTGAGCCATGCCTTAACGCTACAATCCGAGCGAACCGTCTCTCCCTCCTCTGCTGCAACCTTGCTTGAAGACGCGTGAGAGCACTGCACGCTGACTGAATGGGCGTGAGGGAAAACTACTCTACCTGGAGCCGTAGCCATCACTGTGCATGTCGAAGCCCAGCATGCCGTCGCTCTCACCCTCGCCTGCAGAATTCAGACCCCCTAAGAGAGACTGCCCATCCAGCTTACCTTAATCCCCCTCCATCCATCCTTCCAACCACTGCCGAGTGCTAACCTAGTGGCCCCACCTGGAGCCGTAGCCATCGCTGTGCATGTCGAAGCCCAGCATGCCGTCACTCTCCCCCTCAGCTGCAGCCCGCACCAGCACGGCCCCACAGCCATTGCCGAACAGAATGCACGTGCCCCTGTCCGACCAGTCCATGCACTCTGGCGTTGCATGCGGATCCTGACTGGAAACTCATGACCCCTCTGAGAGAGACTATCCATTCAGCTTACCTTGGCCTCTCAATACACTGCTGAGTGCGTGCTACCCTAGTAGCCCTACCTGGAGCCGATGCCATCGCTGTGCATGTCGAACCCCAGCATGCCGTCGCTCTCGCCCTCGCCTGCAGCCTGCACCAACACGGCCCCACAGCCGTCGCCGAACAGAATGCACGTGCCCCTGTCCGACCAGTCCACGTATCGCGACAGCCCATCCGCCCCCACCACCAGCACCCGCTCATACCCGCCTCCTGCAGGGTTGGTTCAATGGTAGGAGATGGATGGAAAAGTGACAAGCGAAGAGCAAGGGGAGCTATCAAAAAGAGCTGTCAAAGGCAAAATGTCCGACCAGTCCACGTATCGCGACAGCCCATCCGCCCCCACCACAAGCACCCGCTCATACCCGCCACCTGCAGGGTTGGTTTGTCCAAAGAGAAAGATTAGACAGGTGGGGAGCATAAGCACAGAGCAAGTGGAACACAACTTTAGAGGAGCAGTCCACGTGCTAGACAAACGGGCTGAACATTTCACATATCGGAACAGCCCATCTGTTCCCACCAAAAGCACACGCTCATATCCGCCTCCTGCAGGGTTGATTGGTTCAGTGCATAAGAGTGGACAAGTTGGGAGAATAAGCAGAGCATGTGGAGCAAGAGTTAAGAGGAGCAGTGCACGAACTGAGACAAACTGTACGACAGTCCACGTGTTGGGACAGCCCATCCGCCCCTACCACAAGCACTCCCTCAAAGCGGCCTCTTGCAGGGTTGGTTCGGCGGCACAAGATAGAAAGACAAGTGAGGAGCTATGGGTAAGAAGCGAGAGGAGCAGTCACATAAAGCACGAAGGGGTTGAAGCAACAATACGCAACGCTAAAAGCTCGGTCCACTAACTAAGGGCTGCCTCCTGGGGGGTTATGAACTAAAGCACTCGAGGCTGGTTATGACGGGTACGAGGGTTTAGGTGTGTGTTCACTGGTTCAACTCGGTACTATCATTCAGGTGACGCTGAGGTAATCCGTGTATGTGGCCTGAGGTGAGATCATTATGTGGTGTTGTGTGGACTTGACTTTCATGAACATGGAGCATTATGCATCTGACCCGAGGCGTACCTGTGGTGATACACATGAACTTCAGAGAAAAATACCCAACCCAATGAACCCTGGTAATACCTTGGATGAATCGGGAGGCGGTGACAAGGCCGAGGACAAAGCCACTGCAAGCTGCAGTGAGGTCGAAAGCCACAGCTCGTTTGCAGCCCAGGTCCCGTTGAACCTGGCAGCACGGGAGCAGGGAGTGGCGGGGAAAGACAATCAGCAATCAGATTATTGAGCTGACTCTACAAAGCCGCTGCACGCTGCAGTGAGGTCGAACGCCACAGCCTGGCAGCCCTGGTCCCGTTGAGCCTGGCAGCAAGGGAGTGGGAAAGGCAGGGAAGGCAATTGGCAATCAGGGCTCGGGTGCAGAATGAGGAAGGGGTGATCTGCTATTGGCACGCGATACGAAACAGGGGAATCTACGTACGAACAATGCTCCTCAGGTAAATTCCACCGTTCATGTTTTGAAGATTAATGTGCAGACGATGATAAGTTGTCGCGTGGACTCGAAAACAATGGTAACCAGTGGCACATCAACAACCCATGCATCTGTGACCGCGTCCACGAATCGAGCCCGTGAGATGCGTTCGAGTATGATCGCCGCACGCAGTCACGTGAGATCGTCACGGCCTGACGTGGAGACATTCAAGGCTTGACGCCCAGATAATCACCGATTCTCGACTCTCTTTTTCATGGTGAACCATGCAGGAATTAGTCTTGTCTACAAGCTCCGCTACTCAATGCAGCCACCGCCTAAAATTTCATCGGCAAAGGTTGTCGTGCAAATGACGATCATGGTAACCAGTGATCGTAACCATAACCCACGAATTGCGCATGAAACTCACCAGACAACCACCGTCGAATGTCGCCGCCGTCGTCAAGGTTAACTTGCGAATGAAGATTATGGTAACCAGAGATGGTATCGAAATCCACGAATTTCGCATGGAACTCACCAGGCAACCACCGCCGAAAATGTCGTCGGGGGTTGACGTGCAGAAAATGATCAGGTCCACGTCAGCAGGATCCACGCCAGCCATCTCCAGAGCCTTCCGCGAAGCCTCTGTAGCCAGGCCGGTCATCGTCTCGCTCTCTGAGCAAACCCCCGGCGATGGATGTGTTACAAAGCAGACGGGGAGAGACAAGTGGCGGGAGTGGGGAGAGGAGAATGAGTGAGGTGGCTTTCGGAGTTCGTGGTGAGAAAGCGCGTCAGAGAGAGGAATGAGGGAACTGGAGTTTTCCAAAAACATCCTTCGCGCTGTTCTTGTTCGTTTCACTCTTTCCGTGCACATCCCGTAAGACAAAGATATACAGCAAGCTATGAAGGCTGGTTATGCGAAGACGCAACAGCTTACCAGTGAGAATATGGCGGTTGCGAATGCCGGTACGGGTGGCGATCCATTCATCTGACGTTTCCATCAGGGTTGCGAGGAAATTATTGGTGACGATCTTCTCTGGCACAGCTGAGCCGGTTCCGATGATTCGAGAACCACGGCCGGGCTTCCTGCGTAGTGGACATAAATGAATTAAAATTGCACGTTGTGCATGAGTACAGATGACGAAGAGAAGATGAGGGAAGGGAATGTTGATCCATTCTGAGTGACGACCTTTGGCGAAAGAGTCATCGCAATGTGTGATTCTATAATGTTACACTCCTGCAGCTTTTCCTATTTATAACCTCTTTCTCTAATTCACCTCTTCCGAGATTTCTTCTCGCCGGAGTCAGCAGCCGGAGGCCCTGTGGTGGCTGAATTCACCACATTCAACGCTCCTGTGGACGAAGCTTTCAATGCCTGGCGTTGCCATGCCCTGGAGCTCGATCCAGACAGAATCAGTTTGCCGTTTCCGCGAACAGCAGCACAAGACGAGAATCTGCTATTCTGGCTAATGAAATCGCTGCCTCTCTCAACAGACGCACAAACTATGGAGACGGAGGAAGCGGCACTAACGGCCTGGGCCATGTCTGTTTGGCTAACCGGGAACACCTGTTAGTGGACACTAGCACAGCACCTGCTAGAGTGCACTCAGCACAGCATAAGACGGCTGAAGGGTTCGTCAGAACCGTGAAGACGGAAAAACAAAATAATATATCTAGGAGGCTATCTGACAAGTTGAAGAAATGGCTAGGCTAGAGAGTAATGTGCCTGCTGTGGCTGTCTGGGCCTGTGATGGCTGTCCAGACCAGTCTAGGAGGCACATCAGATCTGTGCTAACAGTGTGATGTGTTATTTGTCTGGCAGAAGAAGACCCGTACACTACTAGCAGAAGACCCACACAAATTCGCCTCCTAGCTAACCAGCCAGATCAGGAGGACCAGAGAGGTTACAAAGTCTGGATCAGGGTCGGAGGGTACGACAGGATTTCATCCATCGGACGGTGATCAGCACCTAGCCGGGGCTACCGAGGAGCATCCGGCCGTCAACGGACATCCTCGAAATTTGCTGTTTCCACGGTCAGGAGGTTGAAGTGACGTTGGAGGCGACATCCGTGACATGGCGACAATCGTGAGATTCGTCATCAGCGGCTCGTGTGTTGTTAGGGATGATCACGCTTGCGAAAGCCGTGATTGCGTGGCAAAGTTTCGATCAGATCCACATCAGCACTCACCACTGTTGGAAAATTCGGAACTGCATTCGAAGTCCACTAAGGAACCAGCGATACAAAACATAATGGTACACGCAAAATACATATAATTTACAATCCATGTACGCTCTACTTGGCAGGCCATACGTTGAGACTTTTGTTGTACCTAAATACCAACCCAAACGAATATACTACAGATCACTTGCCCTATTGACAGTTGTGAAACTGGAGAAGGAGAATCCCAGCCTTCTCTTTGGAAGTGCAGGTTTTGACGAGCTTTGCCCCTTCACTGTTGCTTCGTCACTACTGGTCGCTAACTTTGCCTGCAAACCACCTCCCTGAGAAATTGCTGCAGGAGGAATGCCTATTATCCCACCACGAACCTCACTGTGTTGTACATTGTCACTGCTCACCACACCAGTCCCAGAATCACCAGCATTCATGTTTTTACTCACCTCACCGCCAGCAACACCAGCAACACCAGCACCATCAGCACCAGCAGCATCCACATGCGAACCCCCAAAGCTGATTGCGTTGAAAGCAGCAAGCGCGCAGGTAGCAGCAGCAGCGGCAGCAACATTCCTAGTCGGGGTAAGCGAGAAACTGGTAGCAGTGGAGGTTCGGCTGAAGCTGAAGGCGCTGGTGGGAGTGTAAGAGGCCAGGGAGGATGCTAGAGAGGGAGGAGTGGAGAGAGCTGAGGGGACTACTGGGCCGTCGGGAGTGGCAGAGGCAGTGGTGGTGGCGGTGCTGGTGGTGCTGGTGATGTGGGTGGAAGGTGGATGGGGCGGACTGATGGCTGTTGTGCTGACCGTGTGCCGCAGGGGAGGAGGCCTGGAGAAAGACGCACCGACAGAGGGGAGGAGAGAGGAGGAGAGGGGAGGAGGGTAGCGGTGAGGAGAAACGCGAGGAGGGAATTGATACATGGAGACAGTAACTGTCGTGCATCAGCACTTCAATCAAATACAAAGAGAAAAAAAAAACTAGGCGATGACACTTGAATACAAAAAGGCATATATATATGGGCAGAAAAAAAGCTGCAAGCCATGTAGGTGTAAGCATTCAGGTATGCGCAAAGTCACACTCATTGCACATTGCACATCGCACATTGCACACATACACAAATGCACATCGGACATCGCACACTGCACCATAGATAAACAAATGGGCACTGCACATTGCACATTGCACGCACAGGCACACGCACCTCTCACTGCTTGATCCTGTAGCCTCTGTCACCGACACACTCCTCCCACTACTGCCCAAATAATGCCCACCACTCCCCAACTGACGCCCACCATCTCCCACCCTCTCCTCTCCCTCCTCTCCCTCCTTTTCCTCCTCTTCCTCCTCTCCTTCTTCCTCCTCTCGCACACTCCCGTCAAGCATGCTTTCACTGAAGCTGCTATTACCAGGAAACCTACTCTCCACCGAGCTGCTCCCAGCAAACCGACTCTCCAAAGCACTGCCACCACCACCAGCAAATATGCTGTCATTGAAGCTGCTCATTCCATGCCCCCGCAGAGTCTGCCTTGACAGCTGTCCCCTTCTGGACGCTCCAGGGGATGGGGTCCCTCTATAAGCCCCGCCCCCTCCCTCGTTATAAGCACCCTCACTGGTAAAACCAGGCCCTGCCTCGCTATAAGCACCACCAGCCAATGCTTGCAAATCTGCCCTGGAGATTGCTGCCTGTGGATCCTGCCCGAAAACTGCTGCTTGTGAGTCTTCTCCAGAGGAAGATGCCTGTGGATCTGCCCCACCTGCAAAGTTTTCAGTATCTGCCCCAACTGCATCCCTCTGTTGTTCTTCTGCCCCAGCCACCGCTCTCTGTGCTTCTGCCCCAGGTGTAACCCTCAGGGTTTCTGCTGCACGCGCAGGCAAGCTGTGCCTTTGCGTTTGGACCCCCTCCTCCAAAGCTGGGCCTTTGCCTTTGTCTGTGGAGCGTAAACCTGCTGCTGTAAGTGCATCTGCAGATCTTGCATCATTGACAAACACATCCCCTTCTCGTCCATCCGTGATAACCCCTGCCGATCCAGCATCCCTGCTGCTTGACGGATCCATCCCACCAGCACCGGTCCTAGGGTTCATTGACAGGTGCCGAGACAGACCCCTTCCAGGCGGAACCTGGTGGAGGGCTCGACTGGGCAGGTCTGTGCCTTGCTGCAGAGGCAGACCGGACAGGTTCCCACTAGACAGGTTCCCACTAGACAGGTTCCCACTAGACATGTATTTTCTGGGAGGAGGTTTGGACGGGGTTCGGCTGGAGGGGCTGGTGAGGCTAAAGGAGGGGCTGCTGTTGGTGTTGCTGTTGCTGTAGGTATACTTGAAGGTTTTGCTCTTGGAGAACGGGCGTGTCGTGGGGGATTGCAGAGTGGGGTTGTAACGAGGGCTGTAACGAGGGTTTGTTGCAATGAGGGCTGGCGGGCGGTGGTGTTGTGGCGCGTGAAAACTGGATGGGCTTGTGCTGGATAGGTCAAAAGCAGCAGGGCTGCGCTTGAAGGTCCTGCTCTTGCTGAAGGGGTGTGGAGAGCGGGGAGAGAAGGCATCTGGAAAGAGTGAGTGAGTCGCACTGGTAGTGGCAGAAGCAGCAGCAGCAGCAGCAGCATCAGCAGCAGCAACAGCAGCGGCAGCAGCAGCAGCAACACTGGTAGGTGTTGAACCAACGGTGCCAATGGCAATGCCACGAGCATTGGAAGCAGCACCAGATGATACTGCTGCCACTGCAGCCGCAGCTGCTGATGGGCTCATGACCGTTTGGCTGTAACTTAGCACCCTTCCACTGTGGCTCTGACGTTGTTGGAGTCTCATAGTATCAGCTGGGTTATTTGAGAATATAGCCTGGATATTAGGGGTGTCAGAGATACTTGCTGCACTCCTGGTTTGTCGAAGGTTCCGGGAAGACTCCAACCGGCGAAGGTTCTGAGAAGATTCGAACCGACGGAGATTCTTCTTGGAGAAATCGGGGCGCTGAAGGTTCCGGGAAGATGCGAGGCGCTGCAGGTTTCTGGAAGGCTCCGGGCGCTGAAGGTTCCTGGGAGATTCCATACTCGGGAGGTTCCCAAGTGACCCGCGCCGGTGGTGGTGGTGGATGTTGCTGGTGGGAGATTCTAGATGCTGCAGCAGGTCTGGAACAGACCGGTTCGAGGCAGATCGACGCAGCAGCCTATCCGAACCTGGGGATGGTGACATCATTCTGGAGGACGGTGACATCATCCCAGGGGATAGTGACGTCACTCTGGGAGCTGGTGACGTCATCCTAGGGGATGGTGACGTCACTCGGAGGGATGGTGGCATCATTCGAGGGGATGGTAACGCAAGCCTGGGGGATGGCGGTGTGAGTCTCGAGGAGGATGGTGTGGAAACAGTGAAAGCAGGGAGATCCTCGTAGGATGCTAAGTTGCGCACACGGGTCCATTCCTCTCCCTGCCAGCGAACATACGAGTGAGTGAGTGTGTGAGTTTATGAGTGCGAGAATGTGTATGGGTGTGTGCATGCACAAGTGTCAGTGTAGCATGTGAGTGTGGGTGTGAGCATGTTAAAGAGTGAGTGTGGGGAAGAAGAGGAGGGTAAGGTGGGGAACGGGAACGAAGAAAGGGAGAGGGAAGGGTGGAGAGGAGAGGGGAGAAAATTGTGGAACAATAAGAGGCCTGTCGGCATGGTGAATTTGGAAGCCTTTTCAGTTGACCATTCTACTCGGATTGCCCCTGAACAGGTATCCTTCCTCTCTTTCTGAAGAGTGTAGCACTCAGAGAAGCCTTTCTTAGCAACGGTCCTACAAGCAAGCCACGTTGACTTTTGAGTCGACTCAAAAGTCAAGAGTGTAGCACTCAGAGAAGCCTCTCTTAGCAACGCTCCTACAAGCAAGCCACCACTCACCAGCTGGAATATTTCCTTCGAGTTTGCCATTTTTGCTCGCACAAATTTCCCCTAGAGAGGTATCCTCTCTTTCTCAGGCACCTAGCGAGCAGCCTCAACAGCAGTCCTTCACGCAAGCCCCCACTCACCAGCTAGAACTTTTCCTTTAAGTTTGCCATTTTTGCTCGGATTGCCTCTAGCAAGGTATCCCCTCCCCTCTTCCTGAGGTACACGACAAGCAACCTCAAGCAGTGGTCCCTTCCACAACAAACAAGCCCCCACTCACCAGCTGGAATTTTTCCTTCAAGTTTGCCATTTTTGCTCAGATTGCCTCTAGCAAGGTATCCCCTCCCCTCTTCCTGAGGTACATGACAAGCAACCTCAAGCAGTGGTCCCTTCTACAACAAACAAGCCCCCACTCACCAGCTGGAATTTTTCCTTCAAGTTTGCCATTTTCGCTCGGATTGCCTCTAGCACCGGAAAAGGAGATGCAGCAGAACCAGCCACGCCTGCTGCTGCTGCTGCTGCTGCTGCTGCTTCTGCTGCTGCTGCTCCTCCTCCTCCTCCTCCTCTTCCTGGCGCCGCTCCTGCTCCTGCTGCCACGGCTGCTGCCCCTGCTGCTGCTCCTCCTCTGTTTGTTGCTGATCCTGCTCCTGCTCCTCCTGCTAACCTACCTTCCCTGGTTAAACCTTCCCCAGATAAGCTCTCCCTTGCATGCCCTTGCTTGTGGTTCCGAGGTGAGTTGTTGGCTGGCAAATCAGCTGGAAACGGCACTGTGTATATCCCTGTTGCGGCTGCAGCCACTGCAGCTATTGAGGAGGAGGAGGAGGTGCCTGAGGAGACGAGGGAGGTGAAGGTGTGTGGAGGTGAATATGCCTGTTGCGTCTCCGTTATTCCTGCAGCAGCCGCAGCTGCAGCTGCAGAGGAGGAGGGGGAGGAGGAGGCGAGGGAGGAAGGGGCGAAGGCAGGTAGAGATGGGAGTGAGATGGGGAGTTTGAAGCTCAGGTTGTGGTGTAGAAGAGAGGGAGACGGCTTCTTGGAGGTTCTTGAGAAGCTCTTTAACGAGGATAAATACTTTTGAGAATTCTGGTGGAGAGGAGACGCTGGTGTTGGCAATGATGCTGCTGCTGAGCCTGAGACATCCAATGCTGCTGGTAGTGTTGTTGAGAGTGGTGATGGTGGTGATATTGCTGCTGGGCCTGACAATGCTGCTGATACTGGTGGTGGTGCTGCTGCTATTGATGGCGGCGGCGAGGCTGCTAGTGAAAACGACGGCAATCCTGTCAAAGCTGCTGCTCTTGGTGCCGAAGCTGTAGATGCTTCCTTGCTTTTCGCCTCCTCCCCTTCCTCTTCTTCCTCCCCTTCCTCTTCTTCCTCCCCTTCCTCTGCCCTCCCCTCCGTTTCTACATCTATTTCGCACGCAATGCGTTGCGTATCTTTTCTTGTTGCCACGTTACACCCTTCCTTCCCTCTACCTATATCTGGTTCATCAGTACGTCCATCTGCTTCATCCTTCAGCTGGTTTGCTTCAGTACTGCCATCACCACCATTTAAATTAACCTCCCCATGCGACCCACCATCATCATCACCATCAGCATCACGATCACCATCACCACTAACATCCGCATCCCCAGCACCATCCCCAGCACCATCACCATCACCATCACCAGCAGCAGTACGTGCATCCTGCCACACAATCTCCGTCTCCACATCTGCTTCCCCTGCACCATCACCCATTGCCCTCCGACTCAACCCCACCGCCCCTTCTGAATCCTCACAAGCTGGCCTTTCAGTCAACTCAAAAGTCACCTCCTCACCACCGCCATCTGCCCTCTGACTCAACCCCACAAGACTTTCTAACTCCTCAAGAGTTGACCTTCCAGTCAACTCACCACCAGTCACCTTCCCACCACCATCCAATGCCCACCGATCGAACCGCACCACCTCGTCAGGTTCGGCACGCCACGGGCCCCCATCACCACCGCTGCCACTGAATCCGCCAGGTTCAGTTGGGGGAGTGAAATTGCCCGTTGCCCCCACCTCTCTGAAAGCATCAGGCTTCAGCTCCCTGCCGCACATACAAAACTCCCAACAAGGCAACAAGGCAAAACAAAACACAGAGAAGTTGAGGGGAGTACTGAGGTGACTAGAAAACCAGAGGCATCTGGGAGTTGCAGAGAAGACAGCCCCATAGACGATCATGAGACCTGAGAAGACAGCCCCATAGACGATCATGAGACCTGAGAAGACAGCCCCATAGACGATCATGAGACCTGAGAATACTGTCACGAGACCTGCCCTGCCCACCAACCCACCCTTCCACCCACCGTATGTTTTTTGAGAATTCTAAACCAAACATACGCTCCAGAGACATCTGGGAGTTGCAGTAAAGACGGCCCCATAGACGATCATGAGACCTGCCCACCAACCCGCCCATCCACCCACCTGTGCGCGCGGTGTCCTCGGTATAAGATGATGGCGATATAAGCAGCGCAGCACAGCAGGGAGAAGGCGCCGTAGACAATCATGAGGCCCGCCATGGTGGTGGCTGAGATCTGCACCTTCTCCACCATCACTGATGCCGCGTTGTCACAGTTACTAGTGTTCTGCACAAGGGGTAAAAGGGATACCAGGGGGGGAATAGAGGGGAATGACGGTGAATACAAGGCCTGCCATGCCATGGTGGTGGCTGAGATCTGCACCTTCTTCATCATCACGGACGCTGCGTTCTCACAGTTGGATGTGTTCTGATGGGGCCACTATGAGCGAGGCTATAGAGGAAGAGGAGGAGCGTTGGGGGGAGTGAAGGGGGGATCAGGGATTGCTGCTTTTGCGATTACAGCAATCTGCTGCACCTTCTCTACCAACCAAAAAGCAGCACATCATCAGAATGAGAGCGAGCTACACGTCAGCAGCAGAAGGACAGTGACACGTCGGCAGGAGCACAGTGACACGTCAGCAGTGATTCGTCAGCAGCAGCACAGCACCTTGATGTGCATGCTGCGAATGCGCTGCAGCGCCCCATTCTGTGCCAGCTTTAGCAGCGCACGACAGTGACACGTTAGCAGCACACACGACAGTAACCAGTCAGAAACAGCAGCACAGCGCACCTTGATGTACATGCTACGAATGCGCTGCAGCTCGCCATTCTGTGCCAGCTCCAGCAGCGCCTGAGAGATGTCCGCCCCGAAGAGAGAGCCCTTCTGGAAGGCCTGATACGGGCAGAGGTGAAGACAAAAGCGGGCAGAAGAGGGGAAGGAATGCAAAGGTCAGCTCCAGCAGCGCCTGGGAGATGGCTGCCCCAAAGAGAGATCCCTTTTGGAATGCCTGATGGGGGTGTGAAGGGGGAGAGGGCAGAGAGTAAGGTGGAAGAAGGCGGAGGGGAGGGGCGGAGGGGAGGGGCGGAGGGGAGCGGCGACTTGGTTAAGGTGAATGTGGGGGTGGAGAGAAGCCAAGGTCAGCTTCAGCATCACATGGGAGATGTCAGCCCAGGAGAGACAACCCCTCCGGTGTGCTTTTGAGTCGACTCAAAAGCAGGAGAGAGAACCCCTCCGGTGTGCTTTTGAGTCGACTCAAAAGCAGGAGAGAGAACCCCTCCGGTGTGCTTTTGAGTCGACTCAAAAGCAGGAGAAGAACCCCTCCGGTGTGCTTTTGAGTCGACTCAAAAGCAGGAGAGAGAACCCCTCCGGTGTGCTTTTGAGTCGACTCAAAAGCAGGAGAGAGAACCCCTCCGGTGTGCTTTTGAGTCGACTCAAAAGCAGGAGAGAGAACCCCTCCGGTGTGCTTTTGAGTCGACTCAAAAGCAGGAGAGAGAACCCCTCCGGTGTGCTTTTGAGTCGACTCAAAAGCAGGAGAGAGAACCCCTCCGGTGTGCTTTTGAGTCGACTCAAAAGCAGGAGAGAGAAGCCCTCCGGTGTGCTTTTGAGTCGACTCAAAAGCAGGAGAGAGAACCCCTCCGGTGTGCTTTTGAGTCGACTCAAAAGCAGGAGAGACAACCCCTCCGGTGTGCTTTTGAGTCGACTCAAAAGCAGGAGAGACAACCCCTCCGGTGTGCTTTTGAGTCGACTCAAAAGCAGGAGAGAGAACCCCTCCGGTGTGCTTTTGAGTCGACTCAAAAGCAGGAGAGAGAACCCCTCCGGTGTGCTTTTGAGTCGACTCAAAAGCAGGAGAGACAACCCCTCCGGTGTGCTTTTGAGTCGACTCAAAAGCAGGAGAGACAACCCCTCCGGTGTGCTTTTGAGTCGACTCAAAAGCAGGAGAGAGAACCCCTCCGGTGTGCTTTTGAGTCGACTCAAAAGCAGGAGAGAGAACCCCTCCGGTGTGCTTTTGAGTCGACTCAAGAGCAGGAGAGAGAACCCCTCCGGTGTGCTTTTGAGTCGACTCAAAAGCAGGAGAGAGAACCCCTCCGGTGTGCTTTTGAGTCGACTCAAAAGCAGGAGAGAGAACCCCTCCGGTGTGCTTTTGAGTCGACTCAAAAGCAGGAGAGAGAACCCCTCCGGTGTGCTTTTGAGTCGACTCAAAAGCAGGAGAGAGAACCCCTCCGGTGTGCTTTTGAGTCGACTCAAAAGCAGGAGAGAGAACCCCTCCGGTGTGCTTTTGAGTCGACTCAAAAGCAGGAGAGAGAACCCCTCCGGTGTGCTTTTGAGTCGACTCAAAAGCAGGAGAGAGAACCCCTCCGGTGTGCTTTTGAGTCGACTCAAAAGCAGGAGAGAGAACCCCTCCGGTGTGCTTTTGAGTCGACTCAAAAGCAGGAGAGAGAACCCCTCCGGTGTGCTTTTGAGTCGACTCAAAAGCAGGAGAGAGAACCCCTCCGGTGTGCTTTTGAGTCGACTCAAAAGCAGGAGAGACAACCCCTCCGGTGTGCTTTTGAGTCGACTCAAAAGCAGGAGAGACAACCCCTCCGGTGTGCTTTTGAGTCGACTCAAAAGCAGGAGAGAGAACCCCTCCGGTGTGCTTTTGAGTCGACTCAAAAGCAGGAGAGAGAACCCCTCCGGTGTGCTTTTGAGTCGACTCAAAAGCAGGAGAGACAACCCCTCCGGTGTGCTTTTGAGTCGACTCAAAAGCAGGAGAGAGAACCCCTCCGGTGTGCTTTTGAGTCGACTCAAAAGCAGGAGAGAGAACCCCTCCGGTGTGCTTTTGAGTCGACTCAAGAGCAGGAGAGAGAACCCCTCCGGTGTGCTTTTGAGTCGACTCAAAAGCAGGAGAGAGAACCCCTCCGGTGTGCTTTTGAGTCGACTCAAAAGCAGGAGAGAGAACCCCTCCGGTGTGCTTTTGAGTCGACTCAAAAGCAGGAGAGAGAACCCCTCCGGTGTGCTTTTGAGTCGACTCAAAAGCAGGAGAGAGAACCCCTCCGGTGTGCTTTTGAGTCGACTCAAAAGCAGGAGAGAGAACCCCTCCGGTGTGCTTTTGAGTCGACTCAAAAGCAGGAGAGAGAACCCCTCCGGTGTGCTTTTGAGTCGACTCAAAAGCAGGAGAGAGAACCCCTCCGGTGTGCTTTTGAGTCGACTCAAAAGCAGGAGAGAGAACCCCTCCGGTGTGCTTTTGAGTCGACTCAAAAGCAGGAGAGAGAACCCCTCCGGTGTGCTTTTGAGTCGACTCAAAAGCAGGAGAGAGAACCCCTCCGGTGTGCTTTTGAGTCGACTCAAAAGCAGGAGAGACAACCCCTCCGGTGTGCTTTTGAGTCGACTCAAAAGCAGGAGAGACAACCCCTCCGGTGTGCTTTTGAGTCGACTCAAAAGCAGGAGAGAGAACCCCTCCGGTGTGCTTTTGAGTCGACTCAAAAGCAGGAGAGAGAACCCCTCCGGTGTGCTTTTGAGTCGACTCAAAAGCAGGAGAGAGAACCCCTCCGGTGTGCTTTTGAGTCGACTCAAAAGCAGGAGAGAGAACCCCTCCGGTGTGCTTTTGAGTCGACTCAAAAGCAGGAGAGAGAACCCCTCCGGTGTGCTTTTGAGTCGACTCAAAAGCAGGAGAGAGAACCCCTCCGGTGTGCTTTTGAGTCGACTCAAAAGCAGGAGAGAGAACCCCTCCGGTGTGCTTTTGAGTCGACTCAAAAGCAGGAGAGAGAACCCCTCTGGTGTGCTTTTGAGTCGACTCAAAAGCAGGAGAGACAACCCCTCCGGTGTGCTTTTGAGTCGACTCAAAAGCAGGAGAGAGAACCCCTCCGGTGTGCTTTTGAGTCGACTCAAAAGCAGGAGAGACAACCCCTCCGGTGTGCTTTTGAGTCGACTCAAAAGCAGGAGAGAGAACCCCTCCGGTGTGCTTTTGAGTCGACTCAAAAGCAGGAGAGACAACCCCTCCGGTGTGCTTTTGAGTCGACTCAAAAGCAGGAGAGACAACCCCTCCGGTGTGCTTTTGAGTCGACTCAAAAGCAGGAGAGAGAACCCCTCCGGTGTGCTTTTGAGTCGACTCAAAAGCAGGAGAGACAACCCCTCCGGTGTGCTTTTGAGTCGACTCAAAAGCAGGAGAGACAACCCCTCCGGTGTGCTTTTGAGTCGACTCAAAAGCAGGAGAGAGAACCCCTCCGGTGTGCTTTTGAGTCGACTCAAAAGCAGGAGAGAGAACCCCTCCGGTGTGCTTTTGAGTCGACTCAAAAGCAGGAGAGAGAACCCCTCCGGTGTGCTTTTGAGTCGACTCAAAAGCAGGAGAGAGAACCCCTCCGGTGTGCTTTTGAGTCGACTCAAAAGCAGGAGAGAGAACCCCTCCGGTGTGCTTTTGAGTCGACTCAAAAGCAGGAGAGAGAACCCCTCCGGTGTGCTTTTGAGTCGACTCAAAAGCAGGAGAGACAACCCCTCCGGTGTGCTTTTGAGTCGACTCAAAAGCAGGAGAGAGAACCCCTCCGGTGTGCTTTTGAGTCGACTCAAAAGCAGGAGAGAGAACCCCTCCGGTGTGCTTTTGAGTCGACTCAAAAGCAGGAGAGAGAACCCCTCCGGTGTGCTTTTGAGTCGACTCAAAAGCAGGAGAGAGAACCCCTCCGGTGTGCTTTTGAGTCGACTCAAAAGCAGGAGAGAGAACCCCTCTGGTGTGCTTTTGAGTCGACTCAAAAGCAGGAGAGACAACCCCTCCGGTGTGCTTTTGAGTCGACTCAAAAGCAGGAGAGACAACCCCTCCGGTGTGCTTTTGAGTCGACTCAAAAGCAGGAGAGACAACCCCTCCGGTGTGCTTTTGAGTCGACTCAAAAGCAGGAGAGAGAACCCCTCCGGTGTGCTTTTGAGTCGACTCAAAAGCAGGAGAGAGAACCCCTCCGATGTGCTTTTGAGTCGACTCAAAAGCAGGAGAGACAACCCCTCCGGTGTGCTTTTGAGTCGACTCAAAAGCAGGAGAGACAACCCCTCCGGTGTGCTTTTGAGTCGACTCAAAAGCAGGAGAGAGAACCCCTCCGGTGTGCTTTTGAGTCGACTCAAAAGCAGGAGAGAGAACCCCTCCGGTGTGCTTTTGAGTCGACTCAAAAGCAGGAGAGAGAACCCCTCCGGTGTGCTTTTGAGTCGACTCAAAAGCAGGAGAGAGAACCCCTCCGGTGTGCTTTTGAGTCGACTCAAAAGCAGGAGAGAGAACCCCTCCGGTGTGCTTTTGAGTCGACTCAAAAGCAGGAGAGAGAACCCCTCCGGTGTGCTTTTGAGTCGACTCAAAAGCAGGAGAGAGAACCCCTCCGGTGTGCTTTTGAGTCGACTCAAAAGCAGGAGAGAGAACCCCTCTGGTGTGCTTTTGAGTCGACTCAAAAGCAGGAGAGACAACCCCTCCGGTGTGCTTTTGAGTCGACTCAAAAGCAGGAGAGACAACCCCTCCGGTGTGCTTTTGAGTCGACTCAAAAGCAGGAGAGACAACCCCTCCGGTGTGCTTTTGAGTCGACTCAAAAGCAGGAGAGAGAACCCCTCCGGTGTGCTTTTGAGTCGACTCAAAAGCAGGAGAGAGAACCCCTCCGGTGTGCTTTTGAGTCGACTCAAAAGCAGGAGAGACAACCCCTCCGGTGTGCTTTTGAGTCGACTCAAAAGCAGGAGAGACAACCCCTCCGGTGTGCTTTTGAGTCGACTCAAAAGCAGGAGAGACAACCCCTCCGGTGTGCTTTTGAGTCGACTCAAAAGCAGGAGAGAGAACCCCTCCGGTGTGCTTTTGAGTCGACTCAAAAGCAGGAGAGAGAACCCCTCCGGTGTGCTTTTGAGTCGACTCAAAAGCAGGAGAGAGAACCCCTCCGGTGTGCTTTTGAGTCGACTCAAAAGCAGGAGAGAGAACCCCTCTGGTGTGCTTTTGAGTCGACTCAAAAGCAGGAGAGACAACCCCTCCGGTGTGCTTTTGAGTCGACTCAAAAGCAGGAGAGACAACCCCTCCGGTGTGCTTTTGAGTCGACTCAAAAGCAGGAGAGAGAACCCCTCCGGTGTGCTTTTGAGTCGACTCAAAAGCAGGAGAGACAACCCCTCCGGTGTGCTTTTGAGTCGACTCAAAAGCAGGAGAGAGAACCCCTCCGGTGTGCTTTTGAGTCGACTCAAAAGCAGGAGAGACAACCCCTCCGGTGTGCTTTTGAGTCGACTCAAAAGCAGGAGAGACAACCCCTCCGGTGTGCTTTTGAGTCGACTCAAAAGCAGGAGAGAGAACCCCTCCGGTGTGCTTTTGAGTCGACTCAAAAGCAGGAGAGAGAACCCCTCCGGTGTGCTTTTGAGTCGACTCAAAAGCAGGAGAGAGAACCCCTCCGGTGTGCTTTTGAGTCGACTCAAAAGCAGGAGAGACAACCCCTCCGGTGTGCTTTTGAGTCGACTCAAAAGCAGGAGAGACAACCCCTCCGGTGTGCTTTTGAGTCGACTCAAAAGCAGGAGAGAGAACCCCTCCGGTGTGCTTTTGAGTCGACTCAAAAGCAGGAGAGACAACCCCTCCGGTGTGCTTTTGAGTCGACTCAAAAGCAGGAGAGACAACCCCTCCGGTGTGCTTTTGAGTCGACTCAAAAGCAGGAGAGAGAACCCCTCCGGTGTGCTTTTGAGTCGACTCAAAAGCAGGAGAGAGAACCCCTCCGGTGTGCTTTTGAGTCGACTCAAAAGCAGGAGAGAGAACCCCTCCGGTGTGCTTTTGAGTCGACTCAAAAGCAGGAGAGACAACCCCTCCGGTGTGCTTTTGAGTCGACTCAAAAGCAGGAGAGACAACCCCTCCGGTGTGCTTTTGAGTCGACTCAAAAGCAGGAGAGACAACCCCTCCGGTGTGCTTTTGAGTCGACTCAAAAGCAGGAGAGAGAACCCCTCCGGTGTGCTTTTGAGTCGACTCAAAAGCAGGAGAGAGAACCCCTCCGGTGTGCTTTTGAGTCGACTCAAAAGCAGGAGAGACAACCCCTCCGGTGTGCTTTTGAGTCGACTCAAAAGCAGGAGAGACAACCCCTCCGGTGTGCTTTTGAGTCGACTCAAAAGCAGGAGAGACAACCCCTCCGGTGTGCTTTTGAGTCGACTCAAAAGCAGGAGAGAGAACCCCTCCGGTGTGCTTTTGAGTCGACTCAAAAGCAGGAGAGAGAACCCCTCCGGTGTGCTTTTGAGTCGACTCAAAAGCAGGAGAGACAACCCCTCCGGTGTGCTTTTGAGTCGACTCAAAAGCAGGAGAGAGAACCCCTCCGGTGTGCTTTTGAGTCGACTCAAAAGCAGGAGAGAGAACCCCTCCGGTGTGCTTTTGAGTCGACTCAAAAGCAGGAGAGAGAACCCCTCAGGTGTGCTTTTGAGTCGACTCAAAAGCAGGAGAGACAACCCCTCCGGTGTGCTTTTGAGTCGACTCAAAAGCAGGAGAGACAACCCCTCCGGTGTGCTTTTGAGTCGACTCAAAAGCAGGAGAGACAACCCCTCCGGTGTGCTTTTGAGTCGACTCAAAAGCAGGAGAGACAACCCCTCCGGTGTGCTTTTGAGTCGACTCAAAAGCAGGAGAGAGAACCCCTCCGGTGTGCTTTTGAGTCGACTCAAAAGCAGGAGAGAGAACCCCTCCGGTGTGCTTTTGAGTCGACTCAAAAGCAGGAGAGAGAACCCCTCTGGTGTGCTTTTGAGTCGACTCAAAAGCAGGAGAGACAACCCCTCCGGTGTGCTTTTGAGTCGACTCAAAAGCAGGAGAGACAACCCCTCCGGTGTGCTTTTGAGTCGACTCAAAAGCAGGAGAGACAACCCCTCCGGTGTGCTTTTGAGTCGACTCAAAAGCAGGAGAGAGAACCCCTCCGGTGTGCTTTTGAGTCGACTCAAAAGCAGGAGAGAGAACCCCTCCGGTGTGCTTTTGAGTCGACTCAAAAGCAGGAGAGACAACCCCTCCGGTGTGCTTTTGAGTCGACTCAAAAGCAGGAGAGAGAACCCCTCCGGTGTGCTTTTGAGTCGACTCAAAAGCAGGAGAGACAACCCCTCCGGTGTGCTTTTGAGTCGACTCAAAAGCAGGAGAGACAACCCCTCCGGTGTGCTTTTGAGTCGACTCAAAAGCAGGAGAGAGAACCCCTCCGGTGTGCTTTTGAGTCGACTCAAAAGCAGGAGAGAGAACCCCTCCGGTGTGCTTTTGAGTCGACTCAAAAGCAGGAGAGAGAACCCCTCCGGTGTGCTTTTGAGTCGACTCAAAAGCAGGAGAGACAACCCCTCCGGTGTGCTTTTGAGTCGACTCAAAAGCAGGAGAGACAACCCCTCCGGTGTGCTTTTGAGTCGACTCAAAAGCAGGAGAGAGAACCCCTCCGGTGTGCTTTTGAGTCGACTCAAAAGCAGGAGAGACAACCCCTCCGGTGTGCTTTTGAGTCGACTCAAAAGCAGGAGAGACAACCCCTCCGGTGTGCTTTTGAGTCGACTCAAAAGCAGGAGAGAGAACCCCTCCGGTGTGCTTTTGAGTCGACTCAAAAGCAGGAGAGAGAACCCCTCCGGTGTGCTTTTGAGTCGACTCAAAAGCAGGAGAGAGAACCCCTCCGGTGTGCTTTTGAGTCGACTCAAAAGCAGGAGAGACAACCCCTCCGGTGTGCTTTTGAGTCGACTCAAAAGCAGGAGAGACAACCCCTCCGGTGTGCTTTTGAGTCGACTCAAAAGCAGGAGAGACAACCCCTCCGGTGTGCTTTTGAGTCGACTCAAAAGCAGGAGAGAGAACCCCTCCGGTGTGCTTTTGAGTCGACTCAAAAGCAGGAGAGAGAACCCCTCCGGTGTGCTTTTGAGTCGACTCAAAAGCAGGAGAGACAACCCCTCCGGTGTGCTTTTGAGTCGACTCAAAAGCAGGAGAGACAACCCCTCCGGTGTGCTTTTGAGTCGACTCAAAAGCAGGAGAGACAACCCCTCCGGTGTGCTTTTGAGTCGACTCAAAAGCAGGAGAGAGAACCCCTCCGGTGTGCTTTTGAGTCGACTCAAAAGCAGGAGAGAGAACCCCTCCGGTGTGCTTTTGAGTCGACTCAAAAGCAGGAGAGACAACCCCTCCGGTGTGCTTTTGAGTCGACTCAAAAGCAGGAGAGAGAACCCCTCCGGTGTGCTTTTGAGTCGACTCAAAAGCAGGAGAGAGAACCCCTCCGGTGTGCTTTTGAGTCGACTCAAAAGCAGGAGAGAGAACCCCTCAGGTGTGCTTTTGAGTCGACTCAAAAGCAGGAGAGACAACCCCTCCGGTGTGCTTTTGAGTCGACTCAAAAGCAGGAGAGACAACCCCTCCGGTGTGCTTTTGAGTCGACTCAAAAGCAGGAGAGACAACCCCTCCGGTGTGCTTTTGAGTCGACTCAAAAGCAGGAGAGACAACCCCTCCGGTGTGCTTTTGAGTCGACTCAAAAGCAGGAGAGAGAACCCCTCCGGTGTGCTTTTGAGTCGACTCAAAAGCAGGAGAGACAACCCCTCCGGTGTGCTTTTGAGTCGACTCAAAAGCAGGAGAGACAACCCCTCCGGTGTGCTTTTGAGTCGACTCAAAAGCAGGAGAGAGAACCCCTCCGGTGTGCTTTTGAGTCGACTCAAAAGCAGGAGAGACAACCCCTCCGGTGTGCTTTTGAGTCGACTCAAAAGCAGGAGAGACAACCCCTCCGGTGTGCTTTTGAGTCGACTCAAAAGCAGGAGAGACAACCCCTCCGGTGTGCTTTTGAGTCGACTCAAAAGCAGGAGAGAGAACCCCTCCGGTGTGCTTTTGAGTCGACTCAAAAGCAGGAGAGAGAACCCCTCCGGTGTGCTTTTGAGTCGACTCAAAAGCAGGAGAGACAACCCCTCCGGTGTGCTTTTGAGTCGACTCAAAAGCAGGAGAGACAACCCCTCCGGTGTGCTTTTGAGTCGACTCAAAAGCAGGAGAGACAACCCCTCCGGTGTGCTTTTGAGTCGACTCAAAAGCAGGAGAGAGAACCCCTCCGGTGTGCTTTTGAGTCGACTCAAAAGCAGGAGAGAGAACCCCTCCGGTGTGCTTTTGAGTCGACTCAAAAGCAGGAGAGACAACCCCTCCGGTGTGCTTTTGAGTCGACTCAAAAGCAGGAGAGAGAACCCCTCCGGTGTGCTTTTGAGTCGACTCAAAAGCAGGAGAGAGAACCCCTCCGGTGTGCTTTTGAGTCGACTCAAAAGCAGGAGAGAGAACCCCTCAGGTGTGCTTTTGAGTCGACTCAAAAGCAGGAGAGACAACCCCTCCGGTGTGCTTTTGAGTCGACTCAAAAGCAGGAGAGACAACCCCTCCGGTGTGCTTTTGAGTCGACTCAAAAGCAGGAGAGACAACCCCTCCGGTGTGCTTTTGAGTCGACTCAAAAGCAGGAGAGACAACCCCTCCGGTGTGCTTTTGAGTCGACTCAAAAGCAGGAGAGAGAACCCCTCCGGTGTGCTTTTGAGTCGACTCAAAAGCAGGAGAGACAACCCCTCCGGTGTGCTTTTGAGTCGACTCAAAAGCAGGAGAGACAACCCCTCCGGTGTGCTTTTGAGTCGACTCAAAAGCAGGAGAGAGAACCCCTCCGGTGTGCTTTTGAGTCGACTCAAAAGCAGGAGAGAGAACCCCTCCGGTGTGCTTTTGAGTCGACTCAAAAGCAGGAGAGACAACCCCTCCGGTGTGCTTTTGAGTCGACTCAAAAGCAGGAGAGACAACCCCTCCGGTGTGCTTTTGAGTCGACTCAAAAGCAGGAGAGAGAACCCCTCCGGTGTGCTTTTGAGTCGACTCAAAAGCAGGAGAGACAACCCCTCCGGTGTGCTTTTGAGTCGACTCAAAAGCAGGAGAGAGAACCCCTCCGGTGTGCTTTTGAGTCGACTCAAAAGCAGGAGAGACAACCCCTCCGGTGTGCTTTTGAGTCGACTCAAAAGCAGGAGAGAGAACCCCTCCGGTGTGCTTTTGAGTCGACTCAAAAGCAGGAGAGAGAACCCCTCCGGTGTGCTTTTGAGTCGACTCAAAAGCAGGAGAGAGAACCCCTCTGTTGTGGAAGCAAGAATGTCCCAGTGGGTACCTTTGGTCTTAGTGGTCGCGGGTTCAACTCTCATCGGCAGCACCTTCTCTTCTCATTATGCCGAACATGACACTCCCACACTCCACCACACTCACCCACAGTGAAGTGTGGTCACAGTTGGCATTGCCATCTGTCCACCCATCCCATACTCACCTTGTTGGCTCCTATGGTGTGCCACATGCTGCCATGTAGGCTGTTGTTCCAGCCTGGCCCACATGTGCAACATGTGGCCTCAATTGCTAGCTTCGCAAGGTTGGCTAGCCCTGCCCTCAGCTTTGAGGTGCTGCAGCTAGCCTCAAGAGTTCAGCCACATAAATGTGGCTTCCCACTTCTCTAGAACTCATCCTTGGAAAGGACATTGCTCTAGCCTTTCAGGCTTGTACCATCTTCCTACTAAGGATATATTGTTCTTCTCTCATTGTGCCTCAAGTTCACCGATCCTCATTCTACATGCTATCAGAGCAAGGCTTCTAGCTTAGTGAACGTTGCACACTTCATGGCTCAAGTTGAAACGCCTCTCGGTCGGCACACCCTTCCCATCTTGGAACCAGATGGTTCCAACTTCATTCCATGGAAGAAAAAGATCTGCTACATCTTCAATGTCCTCGGGCTGATCTCCCTCCTTGGAGATCCCAAGGTTGCTTCGCGTCCTTCAATCTCCTCTTCCACAACCAGCGGTGGAGAGACTACCGAAGGCAACAGCGGTGCAGCCCCTAAGACAGCCCATTCGATTGCTTCGCTGCCGGATGAAGAAAAAGAGGAGCATGCATACTATCTTCTCATGTCAGCCGTCCATCCTCAACTATCGCTCACTCTTGCTCAAGCCAACACGACAAAGGATATGTGGGGATGCATCATGGCGCGGTTCGACTGCATGGGCAACCATGCACAAGTGGCTCTCCTCCGGGATCTCATCACTACACGGATGGACCCAACAACAAGTCTTCGCTCCTACTTTGATCGAGTTGGAAACCTTACACACCAACTCAAATCTGCCGGCTTTGAGCTACCATCATGGGTGGTGGTAATCTCCATCATCCTCAACCTTCCGGACTCGTTCAAGACCCTTACTGAAACCATTTGCACCGTGAAAGACATAAAGTCTATGACGGTTGAATACCTACAGTCACGCCTACTCGATGCCGATTGGGAGCGGTCACAATCTGGTACAAGCCGTAACATGGAGGGTGCATACAACCTCAATTCCCAGCCCTCCCACCCTCTTCGCTCCGGTTCACGCCAGTCGCCCACCTGCCGTTACTGCAAGAAAACGGGTCACACCATCGATGAATGCTTCAAATTGAAGAAGAAGAAAGAGCTTGAAGAAAGCTCTAAACGGGAGAAATCCGTCTTCCAACCCTCGGTGCATGTCTCCACCAGCTCCTCTGCTGAAGCTACTCCGACCCCCACACCACCTCCTGCCCCATCAACCCCTCAGTCCGTACCTGATTCCCGGTACGTGGACATTGCTGTCAGCACCAGCCACCACCCCATCTTCTCCACATGGACTCCTCTCGTCGCTGCTGTCTTCATTCTCACCATCCTCCTTCTCCTCCTCCTCTTCCCTTATGGGGCTCCCTACGCATCGGCATTCACGGCCTCCTCATTCAATATGGAGCGGACTTCGTCGTGGCTGGTGGACAGCGGCGCATCCTCCCATATCTGCTCGGATCGTTCGCTGTTTTCGTCTCTCAAGAAGCCCAACGAAGAGATCCTTGTTCGTTTTGGTGGAGGAGAGACTTACAAGGTCTTGGGAGTCGGCACGGTGGTGGCTACTCTTCGGTCACCAACATCGGAAACCACCATTCAGCTTGACAACGTTCTATTTCTCCCTTCATCAGTTCACAACCTGCTCTCTGTTCGTGCGCTTGGTGCTGCCGGCGTTGCCGTCTCGTTCCCCGCTGCTGGGCGCGTTGTTCTCACATCTGATGACGTTCCTATTGGCGAGGGCTACACCCGCAACAATCTGTTTTATCTTCAACTGCATCATGGGAGCAGTGCTGCTCCTTCTATCAAGCCAACTGCATGTCCAGCCTCCACCACCACCTCCTCGTACCTCTGGCATCGTCGTTTCGGGCATCTCAACATGCAGGCCTTGTCAACACTTCATCGGCAACAGCTGGTCACCGGTCTTCACCTCTCCTCCACCTCGATTCCCCCCCTGCATCTCGTGCTATCGTGGGAAACAAACACGTCAGCCATTTGGCGTGTCCCATTCTCGCACCACAGCCCCACTCCAACTCATTCACTCAGATATTGCTGGACCGCTTTCATATGGAACTACCATTGGCGGCGCTCGCTACCTTCTCACCTTCATCGACGACTACTCCCGCCACATTACAGTGTATCTCCTACGCCACCGGTCGGAGGCACTTTCATGCTTCAAGGCTTACGTCACTCGGGTGCACAACATGCATTCCCCACACACCATCAAAACCTTTCGCTCTGACGGTGCCTTGGAGTTCACTTCCAAAGCCTTCACTTCATTCCTTACAGCTCATGGCATCGCCCGCCACCTCTCCACGCCATACACACCTGAGCAAAATGGAGTAGCTGAGCGGGCCAACCGGACTTTACTTGAGATGGTCCGTTCCATGCTCCATGATGCACACATGGACAAAGGCTGGTGGGGTGAAGCCGCTCTTACTGCTGCCTATCTTCGTAATCATGCCATTAGTCGGGGTGGTTCAACTTCTAAGACTCCCATGGAACTATGGACCGGTGCACGTCCGGATGTATCACACCTCCGCATCTTCGGTTCACCCGTCTCGGTCCTCATTCCTTCCCAACGGCGTTCTAAGCTCGACGACCGAAGCACGGCCGGCATCATGGTTGGATATGGTCATCTCGACGGCACCAAAGCTTACCGCATCTATATCCCATCTCAGCACCGTGTCATCCTTTCTCGTGATGTCATCTTCATGGAGCCCTCTGCACCGCCTTCCGACGACTCTCGCGACCCTCCATCGTCATCTCCACCCACATCCTCCTCACTACCTCCTCCTACACACCCTTCTTCCTTGGACCCAATCTCCCCTCCCTCTCCTTCCCCCACCATACCTTCCTCCACCAACCCCCACCCACAATCCCCAAACCTGCCCGCACCAGCCACATCTTCTCCTCCTCCATTGTTTTCCAACCTTCCTCTGCCCTCGACGCCGCAAGACTTTCACCTTCCATCCTTCTCTCCTCCCTCTTCGCCTCCCCCTCCCCATTGCACGACTCGCTCCTCCCCGCCATCCCCTTCAGCTCTTCCCGATCCTTCCCTTTTCTCCTTCCTCAAGGTCTTACCATCCCCTTCCGAACCCATTGACTTCACTCTTCCTCCTCTTTCCAACACCTCTGCCAATGCTGCCCTTCACCATCATTACGAACCTCAAACCATTCATGAGGCTCGTACCGGCCCTGATGCTGCCGAATGGATCAAGGCTGCTGATGCGGAACTCGCTGCCCTGCACGCTAATGACACCTACAGCATTGTTCCTCGACCACCCAAGTGCAAGCCGATTCCATGCAAATGGATTTTCAAGGTCAAGGAGAACGCTGATGGTTCTATTGAACGCCGCAAAGCCCGCCTTGTTGTCAAAGGCTTCAAGCAACGTGATGGTGTTGATTTTCATGACACCTTTGCTCCTACCGTCCGCTTCGCCACCCTCCGCTTGTTTCTCACCATAGCTGCCGCTTTCAACCTGGACGTCCATCAGCTGGACATCTCCAACGCCTTCCTCAACGGCACCCTTGATGAGATTCTCTACATGATGCAGCCTCCCGGTTATGACCTTCCGGCGGTCCATGGTGTTGAGCAAGTTTGTCTCTTGCACAAACCGCTGTACGGGTTGAAGCAAGCTCCGCGATGCTGGTACCGCAAGCTTCGTGAGGAGCTTGCTGCCTTTCACCTCTTTGCTGCTCGTGCGGACCCCGGCCTCTTCATTGCTCCTCCTCACTCACCTTATCGGCCTACAGCTGCATCCTTCTTCATGCTTCTCGTCTATGTTGACGACCTCATCATTCTCTCCTCCTCCTCCTCTCTTCTTGCCTCATTCAAGCATGCCCTTTCATCTCGCTTCAAACTTCGTGACCTCGGACCTCTCTCCTACTACCTTGGCTTTCACATCACTCGTGATCGAACTTCCCGCACTCTCCACCTTCATCAATCCAAATTCATCACCTCCATTCTAGACACCTACTCCTTCTCTCCACTGAACCCCGCTGCCACTCCCATGGACACAAAGTTTCAGCCACCCGTGACTTCCTCCCCGCACTCCTCCTCCTTCCCTTACACCTCGTTTGTCGGCTCCATCATGTATGCCATGGTGGGGACCCGTCCCGACCTCGCATATAGCGCTGGAGTTCTTGCTCGTCACCTTCACGATTGGTCTACTCCTCACGTCTCGGCTGCCAAACGCATTGCTCGCTACTTGAAAGGGACTACCTCCCTTGGGCTTCTCCTTGGTGGCATTCCCGACACCCTCGAACTTCATGGCTGGTGTGACGCCTCTTGGGGACCGGAGGGGGAGCTGCGTCGCTCCGTTACGTGCTACTTGTTCTTCCTCGGTCCGTCACTCATCTCTTGGCAGTCCAAACGCCAAGCCGTCGTTGCTACCTCTTCATGTGAAGCTGAATATTACTCTCTGGGTGCCGCGGTGCACGAGGCATTATGGCTTCGTTCGCTCCTTACTGCAGTTGGACTTCCCCCTACCGGCCCCACCCGTATCTCGTGTGACAACAACAGTGCCATCATTCTTGCCAAGGACGATGGCGTCTTTCATCCCAAGGCCAAGCACATCGACATCAAGCACCATTTCATTCGCGATCATGTTGCCGACCACTCCATCACCCTTCACTATGTTCCTACTCAAGACAACCTCGCTGACATTGGGACCAAGCCTTTGCCCCGTGACCCTTTTCTTCGCATCCGTGGTCTTCTCGGTCTCACCCATGTTTCCTCTTGAGGCACCCTACCCCGGGGACATCCTTGAGGGGGGGTGTTGTGGAAGCAAGAATGTCCCAGTGGGTACCTTTGGTCTTAGTGGTCGCGGGTTCAACTCTCATCGGCAGCACCTTCTCTTCTCATTATGCCGAACATGACACTCCCACACTCCACCACACTCACCCACAGTGAAGTGTGGTCACAGTTGGCATTGCCATCTGTCCACCCATCCCATACTCACCTTGTTGGCTCCTATGGTGTGCCACATGCTGCCATGTAGGCTGTTGTTCCAGCCTGGCCCACATGTGCAACATGTGGCCTCAATTGCTAGCTTCGCAAGGTTGGCTAGCCCTGCCCTCAGCTTTGAGGTGCTGCAGCTAGCCTCAAGAGTTCAGCCACATAAATGTGGCTTCCCACTTCTCTAGAACTCATCCTTGGAAAGGACATTGCTCTAGCCTTTCAGGCTTGTACCATCTTCCTACTAAGGATATATTGTTCTTCTCTCATTGTGCCTCAAGTTCACCGATCCTCATTCTACAGACTCAAAAGCAGGAGAGACAACCCCTCCGGTGTGCTTTTGAGTCGACTCAAAAGCAGGAGAGACAACCCCTCCGGTGTGCTTTTGAGTCGACTCAAAAGCAGGAGAGACAACCCCTCCGGTGTGCTTTTGAGTCGACTCAAAAGCAGGAGAGACAACCCCTCCGGTGTGCTTTTGAGTCGACTCAAAAGCAGGAGAGACAACCCCTCCGGTGTGCTTTTGAGTCGACTCAAAAGCAGGAGAGACAACCCCTCCGGTGTGCTTTTGAGTCGACTCAAAAGCAGGAGAGAGAACCCCTCCGGTGTGCTTTTGAGTCGACTCAAAAGCAGGAGAGACAACCCCTCCGGTGTGCCTGATGGGGGCAGAGAGGGCGAAAAAAAGGTGGAAAGGTCAGCTCTAGTGCATGCGCCACCTCAGCGTTTGCCCATGCGCCGCCACTCACTTGGCAGTTCTGCGAGGCAAAGACGCTGAGGTAGGGGTCCCCGTCCACTGTTATGGGGCAAAGATGCTGAGGGGTCCCCGTCCACTGTTATGGGGCAAAGACGCTGAGGTAGGGGTCCCTGTCCACTGTTATGGGGCAAAGACGCTGAGGTAGGGGTCCCCGTCCACTGTTTTGGCCATCGCTGCGATGAGAGCGTCTCTTGATGCTTGCCCATGCATGCACCACCCAATGCTCACCACGTGTAGAGAGGTGCATTTTGAGGCGCCTCAAAATACACCTGCTGCGATGAGAGCGTCTCTTGATGCTTGCCTATGCATGCACCACCCAATGCTCACCACGTGTAGTGAGGTGCATTTTGAGGCGCCTCAAAATACACCTGCTGCGATGAGAGCGTCTCTTGATGCTTGCCCTGTTAACGGGAAAGGAGTGTTGGCCCCGCCCTCGCTTGGGCAACGCCGACAACTTGGTCGGATGTACGGTAGTAGCAGCCGACCGCCCACAGTGGGATAGCTGCTCGACAGGTTACGTCGAGCTGCAGCGGACCGCTGTGGTGTTGCTGTCGACCAGGATGCTTGACAGCTGCACCTGACTGGCCTGGGCGACGGGTGAGCCGTCCGGGAGGTCGACGAAGCAGTCCGTCGACCTACAGCTCGACGGGGAGGTCTATGGAGCATCCCGTTGAACTGCAGCTCGACCGGGAGGTCAACGGAGCGTCCCGTCGAACTGCAGCTCGATCGGGAGGTCAACGGAGCGTCCCGTCGAACTGCAGTTCGACCGGGAGGTCGACTGAGCAGTTTTGGTCGACGGAAGGGGTCCGTCGACCAAGGGGTAGCTTGACGGGAGGTGTGGTCGAACAGGAGCGCCCTGTGGTCGACCAGAGGGACCCAGTGGTCGACGGGAGGCACCTGGGAGTCGACCAGAGCACCAGGGGTCGACCAGGTCGACTGGGTAACCTACTCAACGAGTTCTGCTGAGGCACGCGAACGTCGTCAAGATCGCGATGGCGCAGGCGACTTCGGGCTGGTATCCCGAAGTCGATGTGGCTCGTCAGACGCAGACAACAGCCGACGGATGCCCAACGAGGCAAGTCAGGCCAATCGTCTGCGCACACCTGCGAGCGCGCACACTGCTGTGTTCTACAGGGCACGCCGTCGACCTGCTTTGTTGGCAGGTCGCCCTTCTGCAATGCTGGCGCGGCTCCTCTACGCAATGCTGGCAGGCGGTCGACCGAGCTGCATTGGCGGTCGACCAGGCTAACTGCAGGGTTGCTAGGTGCCTGATGTAGTCATTGTTGTCATTGCTTCTTGATTGATTCTGGAATTCCAACTTTGCTAGTGGAAACTCTTGCCCTATCCTTCCGTGAATGTGCAAACACTAAGGAACTAAGCAAAGCTAAGATCACCTCTAGTAGTTCGTGCCAACCCCTGTAGTCTAGCTCACTACCGTTGTAGAGTTAATCTCCTCATGCCCATGCACCACCCAAAGCTCACCCACCCAAGAAGCCAAGTTCCCAAGTCCCCCAGTGGCCAAGGTGCCCCTACTAGTCTCGGTGCCCCCCTTGGTGCAGCTCATGAATATGGAGTTGAGGATGTTGAAAGCATGTGACGAGCTTTGCCATACACGCAAGAGCCCATAGATGCTCCTAGATGCTGTCGTGAATCCCCTCTGCTGTCCCTTCCTTCTCACTCTCCCTTGCATCCCTGCCTGACTTCCTCACTCCCTCTCCCTCCACCTCTCATCCAGGTGACCGGCTCATCCCTTCTTCCTCCTGGCGTATGTAATCACTCTGTTCTGATCCCCTCCTCGTATCTCAGGCTTCCCTGAAACAAGACTTAACTCCCTCGCAAGGGCTCCGCCGATTTGCTTCAGCTCCTCTCTACTGCTAGTTCCCCGTGGTTTAGGAAATCACAATTGCAGTAAACGAGAAACATACAAGCAAAAAGCAACGAGTCTGAGCGCTACCCCAGTCTACATCCCCTCCTGCCTAGGTGCCTTGTCCCGCAAGCTACCTCTACTCCTAAGCGCGAGTCAGCCGAGCTGATCGCGTAGGCTTCAAGGTGCTAGCTGGGTCCCACTCGGCCCACTAGGCATGCACCGCCTTCCAGCCTGGTGAATGGCGAATTGAATTCCCAGGCTGGCTGGAATCGAATTCGCCACCAACCTCCCCCCTAACCACCTCGAAATCCTCAGCAGCTCGACTCTGTATAGTACAGTAACATTCCAAAAGAGCAAACAAAGTAAAATGCAAAAAGCAGTAAACTATAGTACACCTCACCTTGGCTGCTGTGTAATTCACACTTAGTTGCCAGCTAAGTGTTAATCACGCGACAGCTGTCGTGAATCCCCTCTGCTGTCCCTTCCTTCTCACTCTCCCTTGCATCCCTGCCTGACTTCCTCACTCCCTCTCCCTCCACCTCTCATCCAGGTGACCGGCTCATCCCTTCTTCCTCCTGGCGTATGTAATCACTCTGTTCTGATCCCCTCCTCGTATCTCAGGCTTCCCTGCCCCCTCCCGTGACTGAGCACGCACCCGAGCTGCTCCAGACACGGGATCCAATGCCTGAGGCTTCTCCCTTCCCGCCCTGGCCACGTTGGTGATATGCTCCTTCAGGTACTCCCCTCGATCATCCTCCAGCACTAGCACCCCCGACTCCCTTACCTCTTTCACCCTCCATCGCTCCGGTCCCACAGCTAAGTCCAGCGTATCTCGCTTAGCCCTGCGCAGGTACACCTCCTGCCCCGCTTCCACTTGGTGACTCTTTCCTCCCATCCCTCCTGCTTTGCGCTGCTGGTACCGCCTTGCATCCCTCAGCTGCGCCACGTGTAGATTATCCAAGGCAGCTGGAGTCAGCTCTTTCAGATACCTCGCCCTCTTCTCCGCTAATCCCGCCCACAGGCTCGGCTCGTCCGCTTCAATCGTCGCCGAGAGCAGCTTCGGTGCATCCACAGGTAGCACCGGGTCCCGTCCGTACAGTAGATGATACGGGGACAGATGCTTCAGCGCTGCCTGCTTCGCAAACCGGTATCCCGCAAGCACCCACCAGAGATCCCTGTCCCAACTCCTCTTGTGTGTCTCTCCATAGGCCCGAAGTCCTTTCTTCACGGTTTGTATGAGCCTCTCTGTCAGCCCGTCCGATTGAGGGTGATACCTTGAGGTGACACGATGCGTAATGCCCATCTCCTCTAGCAGCTCATCAAAGCTCCCTTGAAATTCTGTCCCTTGATCGGTAAGCACCTCCCCACATGCACCGTACCTGGTCAGTACTAACTCCTCGAATGCGTCCGCTATCAGTGCGCTACTCTTGCTTGGTAATGCTCGCGCCTCCACCCATTTGCTCGTGTGCTCAACCATGATCAGGATGTACTGCTTCCCTCCTTTTGATAATGGTAACTCTCCTGCCAGGTCCAGCGACCACCTGTAACCTAACCCCCGAATCGGTAGTGAGTGCAGCTCCTCCCTCTCCTTTTCCAGCCTTGCTTTATTCCTTTGACAAGCCTCGCAGCTGGCTACCAGTCCTGCCACATCCTTCCCCATGCTTGCCCACCAGTACATGGTGCTCAGCAGCTGCCGTGTCCTGGTGATGCCGTAATGTCCCAGCTTCGCATGCACCTTCCCCATGATCCTGTTCCTCTCTTGCGGCTGCGGCACTACCCTCCATCCTTCGCTGGTCCTCAGCTGCAGCTGCTCCTGAAACCATCTGTAATGCTGCCCTCTGGCTCTTGCTCTCTCACTTACGCCTTCCTCCTCCAGTGGCTCCCCTTTGATCCAGCTCATGGTCTCCTCGTCCTCCCATATATCTGCTAACCGCTTCTCTCCCTTCTCCTGCCCCCAGCTTACGGCCACGGTGTGGGCTAAGGCCGCCAGCTGCGCTACCGGCTGCATCGGTGGTGGGTTCCTTGACAGCCCATCTGCATGCTGCAGTGTTTTACCCGGTCGGTGCCGGATCTCAAAGTCAAATCCCAACAACTTGATAGCCCATCGAGCGTTTCTTCCCGTCAGCTCTTGATTAGTCATCAACCATAGCAGTGGCTGATGATCAGTCACTAATGTGAAGTGCCGGCCCTGCAGGTATACCTTGAAATGCGTGATTCCCCACACTGCCGTCAGGCCCTCTCCCTCGTATGAGCAGTAGTTAGCCTCGGATGGGCTGCAGCTTCGGCTGGCAAAGGCTATCACTCTTTCCTCTCCCTCGATTTCTTGGCAGAGCACCGCTCCCATTCCCGTACTGCTCCAGTCCGTGTACAGGATGAAAGGCGCTTCTGCCCTCGGTATCTGCAGTAAGGTCCCTGTCCTAACTGCTTCGAGCAAGTCCTGCCTTGCTGCCTCCTCCACCTCTCCCCATTGCCAGCTCTTCCCTTCCCTCAGCAGCTGGTTCAGCACGTAGGCACGGCGACTGAAGTTTGACACAAACTTCCTGTAATAATTCAGGAAGCCGAGTAACGCCCGCAGCCCTGTCTTATCCTTTGGCGCTGCCAGGTTCTCCAGCACCTTAACCTTTGCCTCTTGTATGGCCAGCCGACCGCCCTTCACTTCAAACCCCAGGTAAGCCACCGTGTGCCTCGCTATCTTACACTTATCTGGGTGACACGTCAGCCCCGCAGCTGCTATTGCCTCCAGAGTCTGCTTCAGATCTTGCACATGCTGTTCTTTGCTGCTGCTGTAAATCAACACGTCATCAATGTAGCATGCTGCGGCTGGAACCCCCTTCAGCACTTGATCCATGGCTCTCTGGAACACTGCTGGTGCGTTACGAAGCCCGAAAGGCATAACGTTGTACTCATACAAACCGTCCACCCCGTGAAATGCTGTTTTCCGTTTATCTGCTTCTCTAATGCCTATTTGATTGAAGCCCTGCCGCAGGTCCAAGGTGGTAAAGACGGTGGCCCCTTCCAGCCGGTCGAAAATGTCTTCAGCAGTCGGCATAGGGTATCTGTCTGGGCTTGTAATCTTGTTCAGCTCCCGAAAATTCCCGCACATCCGCTTCGCTAGAATCTTTCCCGTGATGTCCTTCCTAGCAGCCACCACCGTGGCCGCCGCGTAACTTGATTCTGACGGGCGAATAATCCCTGCAGCTAGCAACTCCTCACATTTCTCCTTGCAGATGGCTGCATCCTCCGCATTCATTCGCCTCCTGCGTTGGTATGTAGGTAGCTCAGTCGTGAGGTTCAGCTCCAGCTCTCTCCCCTTGTATCTCCCCAATTCCTGCAGGTTATAGGCGAAGGTGCCCCTATGCTGCTGCAACACCTCCCTGATTGCTTCGGCTGCTTGCTCCCCTATACCTGCCCCCAGCTCCCAGGTTTTGCCCGGCTCTGCTTCCGTCCCTACTGGTGGTGCAGTTTTGATCTCCTTCTCGTCTGTGAGCTTGCTGACAGCGGCGTAAGCAGCCTGCTTGCTGCCCCTGCACTTCTCCTCTTCCGTCTTTCCCTTTTTCTCGGCTGGCCCCTTTCTCATCTCACTAATTAGCCATCGCAGTGAGTGCTGGTCTATGGCTCGGCCCAAGGCAGCTTTGCGCACCTCCTCCCCTACTCCATCTGCTGCAGTTGCCCCCGGCAGGTACCCCATGGCTAATTCCCTCTCCAAAGCAGTCGGCTCCTCCCATCTTTTCTTACGGTGATCATACACCATCCCTGGACCTGGAGTCCCTTCCACTTCGACAAATCCCCGTGCCTTTGCATAGGCCACCAGTGTCGGCCAGGCCCTCCTCGCTTCCCCCACTCGGTTACACTGATACTGTCGCGGATGATCTGGCTTTACCACTGGGGCGGCCACTCTCCCTGGTTCCAGAATGTCTTCCACGATTCGGCTCTCATCTCTCTCCACCCTTGCTAATCTCGCCCTCAGTTCTCCTTCTGGCAGGACGTTCTGCCAGTACTGCCGCACTCTATGACACCTTGCCCCCAGCTGTGCCCCGTCACAACTCACTCCCCTTCCCAATTCTGCTTCCACCAGTTCGCGTACGGCTCGGACCGGCTCCCTGCTATCACTCCTCATATCCACATGTTCTAGGATGTACGCATATTCCCCGCCAGATTCTCTCGCCCACCTCATAATCGTCAGCAGTGTTGTCACCATCGCCGTGCGGTCATCCTGCATTCCTCTTCCCTTCCCCGCTCGGGAAGTACCCTGGCACTCCCACCCTGCTACCAACAGGTCCACCTTTCCCCAGCGGTTCACGTCTTCCTTGGTAAGCTGTCCCACATCCCACTTCTCATTCTGCATGGCCTCCCGTATCACTTCCTTCGCCAGTTGAGCTGGGTACCGCTGCTGCAGTATCTGTGCATGCTTCCAAGCCATCCTCCTCACCTCCGGGTCTATTTCCACATACACCCATCTTTTCACCTTCAGCCCTGCTTCCAGTGCCGCCGCTAAGCCTGCCCCCAGCCCTCCAAACAGCTCCACTAAGGTAACGCTATACTGGTTCAGGTTAGCTCCGACCTTGCCCTCTTTGGTACTCCCCCTCCTTACGCTCTCTCTTCTCATGCCCTCCGCCCTCCAAGCCTTCTTCGGTTCTGTCTTGACAAACCGCACTGGCAGCCCACTCAACTCCTTTCCCTCAATCCAGAAATCCGAGCGGTAGAGCACCTGTTCCTGCCAGGTACAAATTGTTGTACCTATCTTGAATAGCAGCTCCATCCCCAGCAGAACATCATAATCCTCCGATTCCGTCAGCCCACATTGCACTCTTATCGTCGTTTCTCCCTTCTCTCCCGGCTGCAGAGTAATCTCGATGGGGTCCTTAGTACAGGGCATCCACTTTGGTGCCCCTCCCTCGGCTGTCATGATCAGTATGCCTCTGTTTACTATTTCCAAGTCCCCTTTCTCCCGTAACTGTTCTGTCAGCTTCCTTCCCAGCAGGACACTCTGTGCGCCTGTATCCACCACGGCGTTCTCCACTAATATGCCCCTGACAGCCACTGCCTTAGGTTCTACCACCAGGGCCGTGGGTTGGCAGACGAGTCTCTCCTCAGGATGCCGTCGAGCCGTCCTCGGCTTATGGCTTTCTTCTTGTTGCCGAGGGGTTCTCCTTTCAGGCTGCTTCTGCTCTGTCCTGCCATCCTTCCCGCCGCTGCGCAGCCCCAACTCCTCTCGGTCTCTAGGTGGTATGGCCATGGCCCCGTACTCTGCCTCCTCTCTCTCATACTCCTCCTCTTCATCGTCCTCCCAAGCCAGCAATGCCTTCTCAGGGTCCTCACTAATCTCAGTCTTCTCCAACTGTCCCTTCAGCTTCGCCACCTCTCTCTCTAACTGTAACTCCCTTGCCGATTTTCCTCGCATTCTCTCTCCCTTGCTGTAGCACCTGTCTTCAGTATGCCCCCTTTTCCCACACCCGGTGCAGATAGGTGCCTTGGGGCAGTCACGTCTGAAATGTCCTTTCATCTTGCATGTGTCGCACACTATGTCTATGGCGCAGTCCTTCCGCACGTGCCCCTTTTCGCCGCACTTGTAACACCTGCGTCTATCTTCAGACGGCCTCTCTCTTCGTTCCTCTTCCCCCTGTCTCCCTTCCACCGCTGCCCAAGCAGGCCTCCGACGTTCGCTCGGCCGACTGGAGCTTGACCCCCTCATTCCTTCGAAAAACCTCTTTCCATCCTCCACTTCTTTCGCCACCTGGTACACCTGTCGCAGCTTCGCCCGTACCCCCAAGGAGTATAGTCGGCTTCTCATGTCTCGTATCAAGTCCCCATCCAGTCCGTTGACGAACTTGGTCACTAGGATGCGCTCCTCCACGCAGCCCATATCCTCTGCCAGCTCCAGTAAACGGTTATAGTAGGCCAACATCGACTCTGCCGGCGCTCTTCTGAAGTCTTGAAACTCCGCCATCCGGTCAGCCGAATGCCCCGGGAACTGCTCCTGCAGGCTTTCCAAGAAACGGTCCGTAATATCTGCCGGTAAGATATCTCCTCTGTTGCTCCGCATCAGCAGCCCCTGCCTCTCCACGCGGTAATGAGTCAACGCCTCTCCTTTGAGAGTCCTCCCCAAGCCTCTGAAAATTTCAATAGGATCCAGTCGCTCCCTATCCCAGCAGTAGCGAATGTCTTCAATCATCATCAGGTAGTTTTTCAGCGTGGGCTCCTCTCCGGGTGCCCCCGAGAAGCGGTCTGGTACCTCAATTTTGGGGGGTGTAGTACTCATCGACCTGCCTGTCCCCCAGCTTGTGTTCCCTCCTTCTCCACTCCCTGCAGGTCGCCCTGCTCTCCCGGCCTCCATGGCTTCGTATCCTCCAGCAGAGAATCCGTGATATGCTTCCTTGCCTCGCTGACTTCGTCGTTCCACCGATTGATCGTCTCCTCCCCTCAGACTACGCCTTTCTTCACGTTGATCTTCTTCTCCTCTCTGACTCCGCCGTTCTTCTCGATGATCTTCCCCTCCCTTCTGACTTCGTCGATCTTCATGTTGATCGTCTCCTCCCAGATCTGGATTTCCTCGGCGAGATCCACTCCCCACAGGTCGCCCTCCACTCCTCTCCGCGGGCGAGTCGCATGCAGAGCTCGACTGTTGTTCTCCGTGTACACCTCGTTCTTCCTCCCGATCCCCGCCTTGGTTACCGCGCGAGATCGTCCCTCCTTCGCCCGCCCGAAATCCAGGCATCCTGACCGGCGGATCACGTCCCTCCATCATCCTCGCCGGGAATCGGTGTCCAGAGCGCAGTTGATGAGTGTGAAGCTCACGGGCGAAATTACTCATTCCTCACGGTGCATCACCGTGGGCAACTCCAGGCAGTAGATCCTGCCACCTCTTCTCTCAACAATCGTAATCCTGACTACCCTTTTTGCTTGTATGAAACAAGACTTAACTCCCTCGCAAGGGCTCCGCCGATTTGCTTCAGCTCCTCTCTACTGCTAGTTCCCCGTGGTTTAGGAAATCACAATTGCAGTAAACGAGAAACATACAAGCAAAAAGCAACGAGTCTGAGCGCTACCCCAGTCTACATCCCCTCCTGCCTAGGTGCCTTGTCCCGCAAGCTACCTCTACTCCTAAGCGCGAGTCAGCCGAGCTGATCGCGTAGGCTTCAAGGTGCTAGCTGGGTCCCACTCGGCCCACTAGGCATGCACCGCCTTCCAGCCTGGTGAATGGCGAATTGAATTCCCAGGCTGGCTGGAATCGAATTCGCCACCAACCTCCCCCCTAACCACCTCGAAATCCTCAGCAGCTCGACTCTGTATAGTACAGTAACATTCCAAAAGAGCAAACAAAGTAAAATGCAAAAAGCAGTAAACTATAGTACACCTCACCTTGGCTGCTGTGTAATTCACACTTAGTTGCCAGCTAAGTGTTAATCACGCGACAATGCCCCTAGGTGCCCCCAGCAGCTCACAACGGCGGAGTTGAGGACGTTGAAGGCCTGGGAGGTGCTTTGCCTTGTAGTACCTGACGTGCTCTGCATTGCCCCCAAGTGCCCAAGCGCCCCCATCCCATTGTCTCACAACGGCGGAGTTGAGGACGTTGAAGGCCTGCGAGGTGCGGAGCACTTGGCAGTACTGCGAGGCAAAGACGTTCAGGTAGGGGTCCTTGTCCACTATCAGGGCCACCTTCTGCGACGAGAGCGCCCCTTGCTGCTTGCTCTAGTGCCCCTCCGCCTCTCCCTGCCTGCTCTAGTACCCAAGGGCCCCTAGCTGTCTCTAGGTGCTCCTAGATCCCCCCAGGGGCTCACAAAGGCGGAGTTGAGGACGTTGAAGGCCTGCGAGGCGCGGAGCACTTGGCAGTACTGCGAGGCAAAGACGTTCAGGTAGGGGTCCTCGTCCACTATCAGGGCCACGCGCTGAGAAGTGAGCGCCTCATAGTAGTCCTGCTCGCTGTTCAACGGCACTAGGCGGGACTGCGGGTGGGGGATGAGGGTGGGTGGGAGGGTGGGTGGAGCAAGAGAGAGAGGGAGACGTTGCGGTAAGGGGTCCTCGCCCATTCTTATGGCCACTCGCTGCGATGAGAGTGCCTCATAGTAGTCCTGCTCGCTGTTCAGCGGCACTAGGCGGGACTGTGGGAGAGGGATATGGGAGAGAGAAAAGGGAGGAAAGAAGGATGTGAGCGCCTTATAGTAGTCCTGCTCGCTGTTCAGCGGCATTAGGCAGGACTGTGGGTGAGGGAGATTGGAGGGAGAAAAGGGAGGAAAGAAGGATGTGAGTGCCTTATAGTATTCCTGCTCGCCGTTCAGCGGCACTAGTCGGGACTGTGGGAGAGGGGCAGGGCAAGACAACAGGAGGGGAAGGAGGGAAGATACGAGGGCAGAGTGAGAAAAATGCAGGGGGCGACAAGATGAGAGTGCCTCATAGTAGTCCTGCTCGTTGTTCAGCGGCACTAGGCGGGACTGCGGAAGAAGGGACAGGAGAGAGGAACACAAGAGAGAGCGGGACAAGAGGGAGGGGGACATGATGTGCTGAACTGATGTTGTGGGAGGGCTGTACCAGAGAGTGTACAGTTTTGAGGCGCCTCAAAACTGTACCAGAGAGTGTTTTTTGAGAATTCTCAAAAAACACTCGCTGCAATATGTTGTGGGAGGGCTGTACCGGAGGGACCACGAGCTACGGGAGATGCACGTAGACAAATGAGCCGCACTGATAGATAGATATGCCACCTTAGAGAATTCTCAAAAGTGGTACTTTCTTCTGTGCTGTGGGTGGCAGGCCGTACCGGAGAGACACCAAGCTGCACGAGATAACCGTAAACAAAAGAGCCGTACTGATAGCCCACCATCACTGCGGACGAGATTTGAGTCAACAAGAAGATTAAAAAAAAAAAAATCGTATCTAACACCCACTCAAACATCGTACCGGAGAAAACCCAAGCTGCACGAGATAGCCGTAGACAAAGGAGCCGTACTGATAGCCCACCATCACCGCGGACGAGATTTGAGTCAACAAGAAGATTAAAAAATAAATCGTATCTAACACCCACTCAAACATCGTACCGGAGAAAACCCAAGCTGCACGAGATAGCCGTAGACAAAGGAGCCGTATTGATAGCCCACAATTACGTCGGACCCTGCTGCATCGTATATGCTCTGAAAGGGCGAGGGAGAAGGGGAGAGAAAGACGGAGAGAGGGTGAAAGAGAAAAGTGAGAGGGGGTATACTGGGGTGAGTGAAGGAGCCGTACTGATAGCCCACCATTACGTCGGACCCTGCCGCATCGTACATGCTCTGAAAGGGTGAGGGAGAAGGGGAGAGAAAGACGGAGAGAGGGTGAAAGAGAAAAGTGAGAGGGGGTATACTGGCGTGAGTGAAGGAGCCGTACTGATAGCCCACCATTACGTCGGACCCTGCTGCATCGTATATGCTCTGGAAAGATCAGTCGGAAACAGGGAACGAGGCAGAAAAGCAGAAAAAAAGGAGAGTGTATGCTGGCAGAAGCGAAGGAGCCGTACTGATAGCCCACCATCACCTGGGACCCTGCTGCTTCATAGATGCTCCGTGAGAGAGGGAGATGGGGAAGCGGGGGTGTGATGGGTAGCGTGAGGGAGCAAGAGGGAGAGAATGGAGAGAGAAAGGGGTGTCAAAACTCGGAATGACATGTGGAACAAACAGATATGTTGGGAGCCGCAGCTTCTTTTAAATTGTTTCGCAGCTCAGAAAATTAGAGGGGGGGGGGGAAAAAAAGAGAAAGAAGAAAAGAAAGAAAAGCATGGACGCACGGATACTGGGAGCTGCAGCTTTTGGAGAACGAGAGCAGCAGTGAGGGCGGCGATGTAGGAGCTGGAGACGACAATCATGAGCGCAAACCAGGTGACTGTGAGTATCCGACCAAGAGACGTCTTGACTATGCCCCTCACTGATCGTCGCAGGGGGATATGGGAGGAGGTTGACGGGGATGGGGGGATAAGGGAGGAGAAGAGAAGTGGGGGAGTGGAGAATGAGGGCTGCAGTGAGGGCGGTAACGTAGGAGCTGGAGACGACAATCATGAGCGGCCAAGAGACGTCTTGACTATGCCCCTCACTGATAGCAAGTGGAAGGGGTGGGTGGAGGGAGGAGAGAATGAGAGCTGCAGTGAGGACGACAAAGTAGGTAGGAACTAGGGACGACACGACATTCGTGAGGGTGAGCTAGGAAACTGGAAGAAGAAGAAGAAAAAAACCGCGAAGTTCTAATTTTCTCCAAAAATGTGCTGCGGAAATTGTGGATGCCACATGAAGCGGCATTGCGCGTTTCGATCGAATCGGACAGCTGGTTACGGCTGGCTTATTTATTCATACCTTTTGCGAATCCAACTGGAGCAAAGGACATCCTATACGCACACACCAACAGAGAGCAGAAGAGGAAGGGAAAGCACAAATAACTTGAGCCAGGTCATGTAGGGGAAGTTACTACAAATGTTTATAGTACAGGATGTCATATGTACAGCTGACTACAGCAAAGAAAAAGAGCGAAAGAGGGAGGGAAACCATAAGCAACTTGATCCAGGTCATGTAGGAACTTACTACATACGAATTCCTATGCTGCTGACTACAGCAAAGTCTGATAAAAAGGAAACCCTCTCCTCACACACACCATATGTCCTCCCATGAATCACCCATCATTCCCCCTCCTCCTCCTCCTCCTCCTCCCATATTTACCACACCCACCAGACGTCCTCTCCTCACACCCACCCATCACATGCATGCACCCACCATATGTACGACATGACTTCTTGATGCGGCCGGTCATACTCCCGCCGCAGCAGGTGCATGGGGTGGGAACTTTCCAGGAAGCAGAGCACAAGGCCGGTGAACACGATGAGACAGGCTAGTAGCAGCCACATTTGCCAGGAGAAGGGGCGGTAGGAGATCCAGGGGTTGTCGTTTGGTGCCACGTAGGACACCAGGCTCAGCCCTGATTGCTGATTGGGTGGAAGAGCGGACGCGGTGGGTGGGTGGGGTGGAAGGGAAGTGGGGAAGAGGGGAAGAGGGGAAGAGGGGAAGAGGGGAAGATGAATAGGGGAAGGGGAGGGGAATGGGAAGAGGGGAAGAGGAATAGGGGAAGGGGAGGGGAATGGGAAGAGGGGAAGGGGAGGAGGAAGCAGGAGAGGGGGAGGAGTAGGGAGCAGGGGAGGGCAGGAGGGGGCTGGTGAAGTGAATGCGATGAGGCAAGCGAGCAGCAGCCACATTTTCCCGGAGAGGGGGCAGTAGAGGGGCAGGGGAGGGGCAGGAGAGGGGCAGGAGAGGGGCAGGAGGGGGGCAGGAGAGGGGCAGGAGAGGGGCAGTAGGAGAATCAAGGGTTAAGAGAGTGATTATATGAGAGAGTGACAATGTGGGTGCACGATGCTGTGCGGATGTGAGAACGTGGTAGTGAGACGAGTCGCGAAAGTATGAGGCAGCATGAGATAACGAACTTGGATGGGGAAAATGAACGAGGTGACGTATGGGGAGATGAGATAACGTACCTGGATGGGGGCTGTGAAATCGACGGCCTCGCTGCGGAAATTGAGCACAGCAATGTCGCCAATGGCTCCATCGTATGTCTGCAGTGCATGCACACATACACACACACACGCAGGAAAACACACAGGCACAGACACAGGGTAGGAACTGTGAAATCGACGGCTTCGCTGCGGAAATTGAGCACAGCAATGTCTCCAATGGCTCCGTCGTACGTCTGTGGTGCATGCACCCACACATGCACACAGGCACACAGCACACAGGCACACAAGCACACAGCACACAGACACATACACATGCAAACAGGACACACAAGATGGGGAAGTTGAGCAAAGCAATGTCGCCAATGGCCCCACCGTATGATGCATGCGCATGCCACTCACATGGTTGGCCACAGCATAGACCATCTCAGTATAGCTGGGAGGAGTGGCATCGCCCTCCCCAAACTACAGAACCTCACATGTGAACATTTACGTGCACGCTCTAAACTAAAGTACGCACATGCATGCTGCTGCATCCTGCATGCGCATCCCACTCACATGGTTGGCCACAGCATAGACCATCTCAGTGTAGCTGGGAGGAGTGGCGTCGCCCTCCCCAAACTGCATAGACACATACAAACGCTTGCAAGCAAACTTACATGCATGCATGTATGCTATACATACATACACACTTCCATGCTGCATCCTGCATACATATCCCACTCACATTATTGGCAACAGCATAGACCATCTCGGTGTAACTCGGGGTGGCATCGCCCTCCCCAAACTGCAGTGTGTACTGCACTTTAACAGTGCATACCACTGTGTCACATGCGTATCCCACTCACATTGTTCGCAACAGCATAGACCATCTCGGTGTAACTCGGGGTGGCATCGCCCTCCCCAAACTGCATAAACTCGTACGACAGCTCGTAAGGCAGCCGCGCCACTGCCGCCCGGAACAGATCCAGACAAAACCCCGTGAAGCGGTCGTTTCCCTGGGCGGCGGTGGGCGGCAGGATCTCGACAAACTGGTTGTAGCCTTTCTTGTTCGGCACGGCGATCCGCAGCGGGTCCTGTTGGCGGGCCAGCCACCCTGAGGGCGCCTGGGGAGACATAGGGAAGGAGGGATAGATGAAGGAGGGATCAGGCGAGCGAGGGAGGCAGAAGAAAGAAAGGATGGGATGGGCTCATAGGATTGGCATCCACAGCGGGTCCTGTGGTCGGGCTAGCCACCCTCCTGAAGGGCCTGTAAGGGATGGAGGGATGCGGATGAAGGAGAGGGGATGACTTAACTTTTGAGTCGACTCAAAAGCAGACTTTAGCACTGAGGAGTTTCAGGCTTTGTGCCAGCACCCATCATATTGTCATCGCATGGCTGTCTGTCATCGTATTGCTTTTTGAGGCGCCTAAAAAGTCAACACACAACCCAGCGTTGCTGTCCACCAAGCAAGCCCCCCCTGAGTCTGTGCTAACACTAAAAAGTCCCAGGCTGACCTTTTCGAGATTGCCTGGAAACAGCAGGTTGAGTGTGGTAGAGCTGTTGGCCTGCACTGCTGGGGCTAGTGGGTCCTGCAGGGAGGAGAAAATGGGGCATGAAGAAAAGGGGGCATGAAGAGAAGGGGGCATGAAGAGAAGGGGGCATGAAGAGATGAGACACATGGCGGTGGGAATTGGTGCTTTTGTTAAGATTCTCAAGAACTACATGCAGCACGGGAAAGAGCCAGCTGAGAGAGCCAGAGCTGTTGGCCTGCTGCACTGCTGATGGTACGCTAACGGGCCTGGCAGGAGGGGGGAGAAGGGGCAATGATGAGAGGAGATAGGTGAAGCAAAGGAAAGTGCCTCAATAGATGACTCACATCGGAGGTGGTGAAGCCCTTCCCCATGCGCCAGTACCCAGCAGTGACGAACTCGCTGCCCCGCACATTCAGCACCTGAACCGATGATTCTTGAGTCGACTAAAAAGTCGTGCTCATAAATAACCAGCTGCGCTGACTCACATCTGAGACGGTGAAACCCTTCCCCAGGCGCCAGTACCCCGCAGTGACGAACTCGCTGCCCCTCACATCATGCACCGATGATTCTTGAGTCAACTAAAGACAGTCTCTCTCTTACAATACAACCAGCTACGCTGACTCACATCGGAGGTGGTGAAGCCCTTCCCCAGGCGCCAGTACCCAGCAGTGACGAACTCGCTGCCCCGCACATTCAGCAGCTGAACCGACCCGTCCTTCACGTCGCCCTCCGGAGTCAGCCGCACCCTGCAGTGCCATGCACACACACACAGTGGGTGGGGAAGGGGGGCAGGTTTTGAGACGTTCCTCACCCTGCCTCACCCTGCCTAACCCTGCCTCACCCTGCCTAACCCTGCCTCACCCTGCCTAACCCTGCCTCACCCTGCCTCACCCACTCACCTGCCTGTGGCGCCCATCACAGACGCCTGGAGCAGCGCATCCCGCAGCAGCGGCCCAACTGAGGAGGGAGGGGAGGGTGGTGGGTGGGTGGATGGGTGGGCGGTGTGAGAATGTGGGTGGATGGGTGGGTGCGTGGGTGGGTGGGATGATGGTTGGGATGAGGTATGCATGAGAGGTGAAGGAACAGGGCCCGGTGTGACTAAGAGGCTATGCGTGCGTGTGGTGGGTGAGAGAAGGGGTGAGTGGGAAGGGAGTACAATTGGGGCTTGGTCAAAATAGGGGGAGAAGGAAAAGAAGGAGAACGAGGTAGGACGAAGCCCCATTCAAGCCGATCACATCGCACTCAAGCCACTCACAATTGCTCTTTTGAGACGTCTCAAAAACTCACTCATTTCGCGTGGACACTCACAGTTGCTCCGCGCTGCGCCAGACAGAATGGGGGATAAGCGAGCTGGCAGGATCGACAGGCGCCACCACAGGCATGGGCATATGAGCCCCACTCACACGCCACTCAACCCACTCACACCGCACTGAACCCACTCACAATTGCTCCGAGCTGCGCCAGAAAGAATCGGGATTAGCGAGCTGGCAGGATCACCAGGCGCCACCACAGGCATGGGCACATGAGTCCACGTGCCAGGCTCCTGGACAGCAGCGGAACTGTTACTAACGAGGACAGAACCTGCTGCAGCGCCACCGCTGCTCCCGTCGCTACTGCTACCATTCCCCTCAGCACCGGCAGCACCAGCAGCACGAGCTACACCACCACTTTCCACCCCTGGGAAACTCCCACTGTTGGCCCCATCCTCGTTATAAGCCCCTGGGCCTTGAGAGGGAGGCACAGGCTCGACCAGGGCGTTCTGGGAGTCGGCGCCATTGGTGGCGTCGCCTGAGAGCACGTTGTGCACCGCCTGAGCCACCAGCAGCAGGGCGTCGTATGCTGCCAGTGAATACACGTCCGCCTGTGGTGAGAGGAGGGAACAAAGGAAGAATTTATAGGAGGGCAAAGGGTGGGTTGAGCCATCAGCACGTTGTGCACTGCCTGAGCCACCCGCAGCAGGGCGTCATATGCTGCCAGTGAATACACGTCCGCCTGTGGTGAGAGGAGGAGGGAACAAAGGAAGAATTCATAGGAGGGCAATGGGTGGGTTGAGCCATCAGCACGTTGTGCACTGCCTAAGCCACCAGCAGCAGGGCGTCGTATGCTGCCAGCCAGTGAATACACGTCCGCCTGGGGGAGGCAGGGAGGAGGAGGGGTTGGTGGGGAAGAGGGGATACATAGGAGGGCACTGGGTTGAGAGCCACACAGCACGTTGTTGTGCACCACTTTAGCCACCAGCAGCAGTGCGTCGTATGCCAGCCAGTGAATACACGTCCGCCTGGGGGAGGCAGGGAGGAGGAGGGGTTAGTGGGGAAGAGGGGATACATAGGAGGGCACTGGGTTGAGAGCCACACAGCACGTTGTTGTGCACCACTTTAGCCACCAGCAGCAGTGCGTCGTATGCCAGCCAGTGAATACACGTCCGCCTGGGGGAGGCAGGGAGGAGGAGGGGTTGGTGGGGAAGAGGGGATACATAGGAGGGCACTGGGTTGAGAGCCACAAAGCACGTTGTTGTGCACCGCTTGAGCCACCAGCACCAGCGCGTCGTATGCCGCCAGTGCATACACGTCCGCCTGGGAAGGCGAGGAGGGAAGGGTGGAAGGAAGGGTGGGTGGATACAGAGTAGTGGGAAATGAGGGCAATGGGTTGAGAATTGAGCCAGCAGCATGATAGTATTATATATGCTGCCAGCACACATACATATCCGCCTGACAAGAACGGGTGAAAATCCATGTGACTATGACGATGTCTTGAGACCTCTCAACACTCACCTTGGGAGAGGAGGGCCCCTCCTGCCCCGACATGTGCTCCTTCCTCTCTGCTTTGAGATTATTTCACCCCAAAGCTTTTTGTGATTTCCTCAGCAATACATGCAGAGAAACATGGATAACTCACCTTTGGAGAAGAAGGCCCCTCCTGCCCCGACATGTGCTCCTTCCACTCTGCTCGAAAGACCGTGAGGGCAGGCGAGGGCGGGACAAAAGACGCCATGGATATGAGGCCCTGGCAGGGAGGAGAAGGTGGGGGGAAGGGGGGTAAGACAGGAGAGTGGGAACAATGGGAAAGGCAAGAATACGAGCCTCTGGTTGAGGGCGGGACAAAGGCCGCCATGGATATGAGGCCCTGCCACGGAGGAGAAGGTGGGGTGGGGGGAAGACAGACAGGTGCGCAAGAGGAGGCGGGATGCAGGAGTAAGAGCAAGAGCTGCTGAGCGGGACAAAGGACGCCATGGATATGAGGCCCTGCCAGGGAGGAGCGGAATTGGGGCATGAAGGGAGCAGCGGAACTATTGTCACTTTTGAGCTGGGGCTTTTGAGGAAATTCTGCTGGCTCAATGGTCGTTCATAGGTAGAGAGGCACGGAAGAGGCATGGAAGAGGCACGCAAGAGGCACGGAAGAGGCATGGAAGAGGCACGGAAGAGGCACGGAAGAGGCACGGAAGAGGCGTGGAAGAGGCACGGAAGAGGCACGGAAGAGGCACGGAAGAGGCATGGAAGAGGCATGGAAGACGCATGGAAGACGCATGGAAGAGGGCAACATAACATATCATTCATGTCACCCACCTGCACTTGCGTTGCTCTGAGTCGATTAAAAACATATCATTCATGTCACCCACCTGCACTTGCGTTGCTCTGAGTTGATTCAAAACATATCATTCATGTCACCCACCTGCACTTGCGGCATGAAGGAGGCGGTGGCGCCATCGTATGTGAAGGACTGGAGGGAGGTGGGCTCCGTGGTGATCCACACATAGCCGCGGCTGAACATTCCAAGCTCCACCGCTGGTGGAAGAAAGAGAAGGGATGGGGCGAGTAGGGGGAGGAAGTAGTTAGGGTGCAGTGTGGAGTTAGTGTGCAGAAGGAAGAGGTGTGCTCCGTGGTGATCCACACGTAGCCGCGGCCGAACATTCCCAGCTCCACCGCTGGTGGGGGAAAGAGAGTGGAGGAGGCAAGGTTTGGGGGAGGCAAGGGGTTGCATAGCTAGGTGTGTGTGACGTGAGTGAGAGTGTGTTGGGAAGTAGGAGGTGGGCTCGGTGCTGCTGATCCACACATAGTCGCGGATAACCATACTCTATGCTTTGCGCGCACCTGCTTTGAGGTGACTTTTCAGTCCACTCAAAAGTCACCTCGTTTTGAGTCGACTCAAAAGTCAAGGAGGTGGGCTCGGTGCTGATCCACACATAGTCCCGGATAAACATACTCTATGCTTAGCGCACACCTGCTTTGAGCACGGCGTCAGGGCCGTCGCCCCCCGCGTGAATGATCATGACTGACGTGCGCACTTGCTGCAGCTTTTCCAGAGAGGAACGCGCGTCGTCATACTCCCTCCCCCGCTTCAACGCCACACGCGCCACCACTGGGTGCTGCCAGCCCTGGTGGAGAGGGGAGAGGGGAGAGACGGAAAGAAAGGGATTGGGAGTTGTCTCAGCCGCTCCAGAGAGGAACGCGCGTCGTCATACTCCCTCCCCCGCTTCAATGCCACTCGTGCCACTATCAGGTGCTGCCAGCCCTGTTGTGTGTGCATGGGGGGAAGAGAAAGATAGGGGAGAGAGGAGACGGAGAGGAGGAGAAGATGAGAGGATAGGAGAATAGGAAGGCACGTAAACGAGAACAGGTGAGTGCAGTAAACACCAATCGTTTAGGACGCCTTTCAAGCCCCTACCCACCTACCCGTATGCCTTTCCACCCATCTGCTCCACTCGCCCATTTGGTTCGATCAAGGTACCTCAGAAACTTATGCGTGTTGGATACGCACCCAGCAGTTCTGCAGAATGATTTCGAGCACGCTGATGCCGTTCCATCCACCCAAACCGGTCGTCTGTAATCAAATCACCCCACACAGTCCTACCCACCTATCCGTTGTCTACCCATCTGATTGCCAGCCAGCCCATCAGTCGCCCACACTCTCTCGGGCTCGCCTACCCTCTCTGACTTCGCCTACCCATCGGTTCTGCAGGATGTTTTCGAGAACGCTGATGCCGTTCCGCCCAAACCGGTCGTCTGTGAATATGGCTACAAAGTGCTTGTAGCGGTACAGCGCCAGCAGGTCTGCGCGCAGCGACACGAATGGCCGAGGGGAGGGGGGATGAGTGGTGGGATGGGGCAAAAAAGGGGGAGGAGAGGAAGTGATGAGGCCGAGGGTTTGGGCAAGGAAGTGCTTGCAGCGGTACAGCGCCAGGAGGTTAGGGAGCGACAGGAGGTTTGGGAACGACAGGAGGTTTGGGAGCGACAGGAGGTTTGGGAACGGCAGGAGGTTTGGGAACGCCAGGAGGTTTGGGAGCGACAGGAATGACCAACTGGGGCAGGAGGGGGGAGGGAGGGAGAGTGGGGGCGGGGAGGGGGGTTGGGGTAAGGAAGGGAAGCAAGGCAGAGTGTTTGGGTCACGAAGTGCTGGTAGGGGCAATAGGCTAGGCACGGTACGCATGAAGTAGGGCCACTGGCGTGAAGTGTTGAGGGGGTGGGCTTGGGTTTCCAGAACAGTAAGCAGAAGCTCACGGATCTGTGGTCATGAAGAAGGGCAGCAGTAGGCAAGGTCGTCTTTAGCAAAGGGACGATAGTCAACTAGTGAAAAAAGTAACCCTTGAAAAAATTGGTTAAGATCCGAACGTACAACTCAGTTCACTGGGTCACTGGGCACGGTGCACATGAAATAGGGCCACTGGCGTGAGGTGGTGGTGACTGAGGAGGGGGTTGGTGGCGGCTGCAGAAGGGGTAGCACGCACACACAGGCAGTTCCAACAAGCCCAGCTTAGCATTGCATTGCAGCAGGACCGTCTCAGCAGCGAGTGCCTCCATCTTGGTGGCGTCACTGGGGACGGTGCGCGGATGAAGTAGGGCCACTGGCGAGGCTGGGGTCTTGGCGGCTCCAGAAGGGGCTGGCTGGGCTGCAAGCACACGCTACTATTGTCATGCGGCATGGGCTGCAAGCACACGCTACTATTGTCATGCAGCATGGGCTGCAAGCACACGCTACTATTGTCATGCGGCATGGGCTGCAAGCACACGCTACTATTGTCATGCGGCATGGGCTGCAAGCACACGCTACTATTGTCATGCGGCATGGGCTGCAAGCACACGCTACTATTGTCATGCGGCATGGGCTGCAAGCACACGCTACTATTGTCATGCGGCATGGGCTGCAAGCACACGCTACTATTGTCATGCGGCATGGGCTGCAAGCACACGCTACTATTGTCATGCGGCATGGGCTGCAAGCACACGCTACTATTGTCATGCGGCATGGGCTGCAAGCACACGCTACTATTGTCATGCGGCATGGGCTGCAAGCACACGCTACTATTGTCATGCGGCATGGGCTGCATCCCAGTAGAAGCGACACTCACCAGCGATTGCTTCCATTTTTGTAGCGTCGCTGGGAACAGTGCGCATGAAATAAGGCCACTGGCGCGAGGTGGTGAGGAGGGGGTCAGTGGCGGAGTAGGAGAGCAGGGGGATGCGCGTTGTGCCCGCCAGCCCGCTCAGCAGCGCTACTTGGCTGCTCGTGGTGGGGCCGATGATGGCTATCGGCCTCTCCTCCAGCATCAGGTGCAGGCCTGTGTGGGAGGGGACGGGGGGAGAGGAGGGGAGGAGTTTCTCATCTGAGCGCAAGAATAAGGGGAAGTGTTTTCTGCAGTGGATCAAAGGCTGCTCAGCAGCACGCCTTAGCTGGACGTGGTGGGGAGGAGGTGGGGAGGAGGGAGCTTCTGAGTTGACTCAACAGTCGACCCAAAAGCAAGCTCAAAAGAAGAGTTTTCTGCAGTGCATCAAAGGCTGCTCAGCAGCACGGCTTAGCTGGACGTGGTGGGGAGGAGGTGGGGAGGAGGGAGCTTTTGAGTCGACTCAAAAGTCGACTCAGACTCAAAAGAAGAGTATTTTGCAGTGCATCAAACGCTGCTCAGCTGGACGTGGTGGGGAAGAGGTAGGGAGGAGGGAGCTATGAGTCGAATTGACTTGATGTATAATACCACCATTGCCTACTTCTTGAATTTTTCTTTCAGTTTTGTGTTTCCTTCACTTGACGTCTGAGTCGACTTGACTTCTGTGTGTGTGATTATCCCTGCTCTGCGCACCTGCCATTTGGCCGGGGAAAGGTGTGTATGTGCAGTTGGCTGCAACCAGCTTGATCCTGACGCCTGGCAGCAGCGAGGAATTGTTGCTCACATGATGAACCGCCAGCTGAATGGCTGCACAGGGATGGCAAGGGGTTCAAGGCGGTGAGAGGGCGACAAGGGAGGAGGGGAGGGGGGGGATGCACAAAGGGAACGGCAAAAGGTGAAGATTAGGTGCAGTTGGCTGCAACCAGCTTAATCCTGACGCCTGGCAGCAGCAAGGAATCGTTGCTCACATGATGAACCGCCAGCTGAATGGCTGCACAGGGGTGGCAAGGGGTTCAAGGCGGTGAGCGTTCGGCATCATATCTGGAAAACAGAGGGATGGGTGGAGGCCAGGCTGAGAGAGGGATGGGTGGAAGCCAAAGGGGAGAGAGGGATGGGTGGAAAACGGGGGGGGAGGAGAGAGATGGGGTGGAAGGAGGAATCAACGAACGGCTGAGCGCGACGGAGCGTCTAATCAAAGCAGCCTGTGCAAATGAGCGTCGGTCGGAGCAGCGGCTTAACGTGCCGTGCGAGAGCTGTCGTCCGACGACTGACACGTGGATGATGGTTTACATTTGGGTGGGTGAATTTTGGGTAGGTGACTCTTACTAGGTCCCATTTCGAACCTTGAAGACGAGATACCCGTAATTTACGCCACGATAAATTAAGCTTATGATCGACAATCTTCATGATTTCGATAAGTCCGAATCGGAATATGATGGTCTGGAACGACGTTCACGCGACGACGCAGTCTCATCAACCTACGGCCGACAAGATCTATCGGACCTGATCGGAAAGCGTAACCCGGTAACCGGAAATGCACCGAAATGCACGTCATGGAGTAGATCTTCTGACCCCGGCCGGCATAATGCCTTGACGGCGGCCAATAAAGAAAGCTCGTGACTCAATGAGCGACGTCGTTACTAAATCTGACATTGTTACTGCGAAACTACATTGGTTCCTGAATCTGCCGAGCTGCGTTCGGTCCTCGCGTCTCACCGGAAAAGAAGGAAACCCCGTCGGCCGTGTCGAGCGGAACGAGGCATCCTATCGTTATCTCTGACGGAAAATTGTTCTTCTTGGACGGTAACTTTGACGGAACGGTACCGTTCCGCGTCTTTACCCCTTCTCGCTGCTGCCGGACAGGAACGTCAGCCGAGACAGCCTTGCAAATCGACGCAATGAGGAGGACAAGCGTTATCTGGAGCAGAAGGAACCAAGCCTGCGGCGACCGCGAAGGTCGATGTCGTCTTGACATTCTGGCATTCTCCTGTCGTGACAGCTATAGTCCGACTGGGATAGTATTGACCCAAACGGGCAAAAAATAAGTTATCGAGTAAATACGACGTCCAGAGTGAAGCCTTGGGAACCTCGTCGCCATGAAACTAAGAAAATGCGGTTGCACTGCTGCTATCCTCAGTGAACTACAGCATGTTTGCTGTTCCAACCACCACTCTCCCTCTTGTCGCACTTGTTTTTTTACATTTGTTTTTTATTTCACGTGCAAGCTCCAAATGACAGAGCATGAAGTGAAGGTGGAGCAGGGTGGATCCGAGCTTTCGAAGGCGTAATGATAGGAGGAATGGAGAAACATGTACAGTTTATACAACAGAACTCACAGGGAACCTGAGAGTTGGGATGGGATCATGGGAAGGATTGGGATTGGGAGGACAGGGAAGCCATAGCATAGAAGTCGTTCCATAGCCAGTGGAGAGCAGAGAAATGCTGTTCGGGATATGAAGTCTTTTAGGGGGGGTCCAGCTCGTACATTTACTGTTCGTAAACTCCCTCAGCTACCACATTTTTTGTGGTAGCCCTTTATTGAACGTGTCCAGCGGACACAATCAGCTTCTGTTCGCAAGACGGCACGCCCCATGCAAGTACTTAGAGTCGTCTGACTCACGTTACTGGAATCAGCAGGGATGCGAACAAGGGTGCAGCACCGCGTCCTGGCCACTACAGTTCGTTTCCCTTGTATCGCTTGCACGATTTCGTCAGTGGTTCGCTCTACTCGCCAGCGCCCCCTGCGCCTGCACAAAAATTTTCAAGCTATGATTGACGAGGGAAACTGTTACCTCGTTTTCAACGTGGTCAGAGCACTGCTGATTCGTGTGGCGGGGAATGTGTCCGCGCTTCTGAAATTACAGGATGGTTAGACTCCACTCACAATGCATTCGTTTCTAGGTACGGTAGTCATTTTTGAGCCTCGATACGTGCGCTGGCACGAAAAATCCCGAAATGAACGAACTGGACACGCCCTTACTTGCTGTAACAGCAGAAAAGACAGGAAAAAATCAAGCGTTCCACGTGCTTGGCTGCCCTTTGTCAACAGAAATGCTTTCCAAGTTTCTCGCAATATCTGTCAGTGGACCTCTTTTTGGAAGCGTGTCCATAACGGATATTTTGTATGAAGTTTTACAACCAGTAGGTCCATAGAATGTAAGTGCCGTCCATCCTGCACTGAACTTTCTGCGACTCACCGTTCAAGGTCCCTTTTTCTGGAAACTTAGCTGAAGGAATATTCCATACATGGAATGTGAAAAGAACCTAGCAAAGTTCGCTGTCAAGCAGCTTCAAGCCCTGCCCGAATACACAAACTGTTGTGCTACAGTCCGACTCTTCAAGTGGGAACCAAGACACGAATTGAAACCAATACGAGATGTAGAGTGGTCGGTTGGAACATTTTCGGTGATTATTCGCTAGTAACAATCCCGTTTCTCAACGTACCACTCAATCACCACTCGTACACCAGTTTAGTTTCAGAATGCACATCTGACATGCGATGCAATCTCGAGGGAGGAACAGTATTTTGTGCTCAACACGGCTTTGCTCGAACAACGGCTTGAGTACGATGCTGCGCATTTCAGAGGGGTGTCGTCACGTTAGCGCACTAAACCGTTCATTATGCCTGAATACTGACAGTGACAGAACTCTTGACAACAGCCCAACAGTGTAGACTTGTATTTTGCACTGCATGCTGTGTGTGTGGTGAAAGCAAGATCATCGTGGCTTCAGCATGGCCTATCCCTATTCTCCTCTCCTCCCTCTGGCAAACGATTCCACGAATTCGATGGTATCCCTCAGTCATACGATTCCACGAATTCGATGTTATCCCTCAGTCATACGATTCCACGAGTGGAAGCGTGTCCTGGAGAGTTATTCGTCCAGGAGGCGTCATCCCAGTACACCTGGTTTCCGGATGGTACTTACTTTTTTTCTTCGTAAGCTGACAACTGAACGCACAAGCGTCGGGAACAAGCGACAAGCGTGGATTTCTAATTCTGCTGGCTAGCATAACAAGTGGGCATGACAATCGGGACATGAGATCCCTCGCGTGGCTGCACTTCGACACTGCCTGTGGAGCATTTTCTCTCTCGCCGTATCGACAGGCCCGCGTCTCTCTTTCTTCTATCCGCTTCCCGCAGCGCTTCCCTCTCACGACATACACGTCCGGCCGAAACGAAAAAATCTTCCGTCCTCCAAACCGCCGTGCTGTCCCGCCCCCGCGTCTGCCCGGCGTGTTTAGAACCCTGATCGCCGTACAACCGTTCAATAGTACGAGTTCGTCTCGAATCGCCCCACTGACGCAAGAAGCTTCTGGGGAAAGTGCAGTTCAGCGACTCGCCATGGCGAAGGCGATTGATACCGTGTCGGGTTCGCCTCAGGGGGAAGCCGCGATTTTGTGGTTTCGAAAGGGTCTGCGACTCCACGACAACCCTGCTCTGCTCGCCGCTTGCGGACTTGACGAAAACGGAAACGAATTAGGTGGCGAAAGTAACAAACCAGGTTCAGATTCACGAAAGATTCGCACCGGGTTCGCGAAGGCGAGCGGAATGTTACCCAACGATGGCACTAAACCCGAACCTGTCGCCGTTACAAGCAGTATACTCTGCAGCAACACCGCCTTAGTCAAATCCGATCCTGGCAGTGCCAGCAACAGCAGCCTATATTCTGCCGAACCACCTTCAAATGCCACGTCAGCAATCCGTCAGCTCTGTCCAGTGTTCGTCCTAGACCCGTGGTTTCTGGCTCCCGACCCCTCCGCTCCTTCCCCTGGGTCCACACGCGTGGGAATCAACCGGATTCGCTTCCTGCTGGACTGCCTGAACGACCTTGACAGGTGATCACTACTGAAAACGTTTGAGCGCTTATTTCTGATCATGTGTCTTAGGCGAAAGTTCGCGTGCTTCTTTCCCGCCAAGGTTTGCCTCCTGCTCCTCTGTCTCCCTCCCTCACCTCTCCAGCCAGCTGAAGGCTCGGGGATCTCGGCTTATACTCGTTAAAGGCGACCCCACCATAGTGATTCCGAAGCTGGTAAAACAGGTAGGCAGCTGCGAAGGACAACGAGCACTTTCTGTAAGTTATCTATTGTGAGGTGTTTCAGTTTTAATATATATATAATATATATATAATATATAATATATATAATATATATATATTCATTTTCTTTTTCCCACCTCTCACCCTCTTACAGTGGGGAGCGAAGACGCTGTGCTTTGAGTTCGACACCGAGCCATATGCCCTGGCTCGGGATGACAAGATCAAGGTGGGTGGCATGGCATGGCATGGCATGGCATGGCATGGCATGGCATGGCATGGGATGCATGGCATCAGAATGAGTACACCCTTTCCCTTTCCCATCAACCCCTTCCTTCACGCGTTGCCTGCATCCGCTGCTTGCATCCCTCCTGCTTGCGTCCCTCACCCAGTTTCACACTTTAACCCAAACCATCCTGCCCATGTCATCCCCTTTTTGTCCAGGCAAGCATGCAGGAAGCTGGGGTGCGGGTGGTAACGCCAGTCAGCCACACCATCTTTGACCCAGCTGAAATTATCAACAAGGTGTTTGTTTCTGTCTTGGCTTATTGCCGATGTGCCTGAAAAATAGACCGAGCTGAAATTGTCAACAAGGTGTCTCTTTCTGATGTTTGAGACCTCTCTGAAAGGGTTGCGGTGCGGGTGGTAACGCCAGTCAGCCACACCATCTTTGACCCAGCTGAAATTATCAACAAGGTGTTTGTTTCTAAACCCCGTCTTGGCTAACAGTACTGGGCTCTAACAACACCCTTGTCAGCTGATCGATCAAGTGTACACAACTTGCCTTCATTCCCCTCTGTAATCACAGCCAGAAGCTCTCCTGCCTCCTCGTTTTCATTGTCCCTCGTCCTCCCTCCCCCTCCCTTCGCTCCCTCAATCTCTCCCATTTCCCCTTCGTCACATTCTCCTTTTTCTCCTCCCCTCTTTTCTCCCGTCCCTCACTCCCCCACTCCCGGTGCTCTATCAGAACGGAGGCAAACCGCCCCTCACTTACCAGGCCTTTTGCAAGCGAATAGGACAACCCTCACCGCCCGTTGGACCCGCTCCAGACAAACTACCGCCCGTGCCACCCCACCTTGCTCATCGCGTGACTATACCAGGAGAGGGAATAAAAGCAGAAACGGACCCAGATCCAGCACAAGCAATAGAGGAAGCTCAGAAGTATGACTATATTGAGGTCTTTGAAGCGGTGCCTACATTGAGCGAGCTTGGCTACTCGGATGCAGAGGCTTTCCCAAAAGAGGCGAGTCCAGACATAATTTGGCTGGGGATGGCATGGGATGGATGGACCATGGAGGGAAAGGGAGGGGAAGAAGGTTTTTATTATTGGAGAAGCAAAGTCGCGCAAGGGGGCGAATAAGTGGAAGGTGTTATCAATCCCCCCTCTCTCCACCTCCTTTCTCACCCTCCCTGTTCGCCCTCCCTCCGTCCCTCCTCCCTTGCTACAGGACGTCACTCCTTTCAGAGGTGGGGAGACAGAGGCTCTACGCAGACTTGACGACTGCCTCTCACGAACGGTATGCTATGCACAGCACAGCACCACCATTCTTCTGCAACTTTCCAAGACGTTTCAGGGTTTAGTTTTTACGGGCGGGCCTCAAAGAGAGTTATGAACACCACCATACCTTCTCAGTCCACTTTCCTTGACCGCTCTGGCTTAAATATTCTGCAGAGGGATAAGCTGCTAGTGAGGTCCTTTAGAGGTGACTTTTGAGGCGCCTCAACACTAGTATTCTGCAGAGGGATTAGCTGCTAGTGAGGTCCTTCTGAGTTGACTTTTGAGCGCCTCAACACTAGTTTTCTGCAGAGGGATTAGCTGCTAGTGAGGTCCTTTTGAGGTGACTTTTGAGGCGCCTCAACCCTAGTTTTCTGCAGAGGGAATAGCTGCTAGTGAGGTCCTTTTGAGGTGACTTTTGAGGCGCCTCAACACTAGTTTTCTGCAGAGGGATTAGCTGCTAGTGAGGTCCTTTTGAGGTGACTTTTGAGGCGCCTCAACACTAGTTTTCTGCAGAGGGATTAGCTGCTAGTGAGGTCCTTTCGAGCCAAGGCTAGCTGCTTCCCTGTTATACTTTTGAGGCGCCTCAAAACTAGTCTTCTGCAGAGGGATTGGCCGCAAGTGAGGTGCTTTCGATGTGACTTTTGAGTGGACTCAAAAGTTTTCTGCAGAGGGATTAGCTGCGAGTGTGTGAGGTGCTTTGAGCCGGGGCTAGCTGCTTGCCTGTTTTACTTTTGGGGCGCCTCAATCAAAACTAGTTTTCTGCAGAGGGATTGGCTGCGAGTGAGGTGCTTTCAAGGTGACTACTGAATCGTCGACTCAAAATTCTTCTGCGGGGTGCTGAGTGAGGTGTTAGACTGAGTGACTGATTAGTCGCGACTGAGTGAGGTGCTTCGAGCCAAGACTAGCTGCTTGCCTGTTATACTTTTGAGGCGCCTCAAAACTAGTCTTCTGCAGAGGGATCAGCTGCGAGTGAGGTGTTTTCGAGGTGACTTTTGAGTGGACTCAAAAGTCTTCTGCAAAGAGATTAGCTGCGAGCGAGTGAGGTGCTTCGAGCCAAGACTAGCTGCTTGCCTGTTATACGCACTCCTCTGTGTGTGTCACAGAAATCGGGGAGCCCATTTCTATGTGTAGAGAGGGTGTTTTTGAGACGTCTCAAAAAGACTAGCTGCTTGCCTGTTTTACGCAATCCTCTGTGTGTGTCACTGAAATGGGGGAGCCCATTTCTGTGAAGGAGTTTGGGAAGCCTAAGACCGCTTTGAATCATTGAGACGTCTCAAAACCACGTGAAAAAAGGAGTGTTTTTAGACGTCTCAAAACACTCCTTTTTTCACGGGAGCCCATTTCTGTGAAGGAGTTTGAGAAGCCAAAGACCGATCTGAATCACTGCAATTCAAGCAAAGTCATCCAACCCACCTCCGCTGCTCTGTGTGTGTCACAGAAATGGGTGAAAGAGTTTGAGAAACCCAAGGGCGATCCCTCCGCCCTCGACCCACCTGCCACCACGGTTCTCTCTCCCTACCTTAAGGTAATGTTTCCTGTCTCTAACACCCACTTTGGCTGCCTCCGTTCTTGTCTCTCATGTACGCTCACTGCCAGGTTGTGCCTCCTGCCAATTCCAACCGTTTCTTCTTCCCATTCTCTTTTCCCCTGTCTTTCCCCCATCCTCTTTCCCCCCGCCCACCTCTGCTACACCCAGTTTGGCTGCCTCTCCTCGCGCCTCATGTATGCGCGCATTCGCGAGGTGCTTCCCAAACTTCCAACCCTGGATCCCGCTTCTCTTCTCCCTTTCTACCCAACCCGACCCTTCCCCATCCCGGGCACCAGTTTGGCTGCCTCTCCTCGCGCCTCATGTACGCTCGCATTCAGGAGGTGCTTTCCAAACTTCCAACCCTCACTTCACCCCGTTCTCTTCTCCTATGTCCCCTACTTCCACCCCATCCCCAACACCAGTTTGGCTGCCTCTCCTCGCGTCTCATGTACGCTCGCATTCAGGAGGTGCTTTCCAAACAGCCCGGCCACACAAAGCCGCCGGTGTCCCTGATAGGACAGGTGAGAGAGGGGGCATGCCTGTACTACATAATGGGATGGGAATGATGGCATGTGTGCGATGGCCGGGTCTTGAGACAGGATTTTTCAGGTGTGTTTTGAGGCGCCTCAAAACACACCACACTGGGATGGGAATGATGCCATGTGTGCGATGGCCGGGTCTTGAGACAGGATTTTTTCCGCACGGCAGCATTCTTGGCAACCCCTTCGATCGCATGCAGGGCAGGCAGCAGGTTCTTATGAGAGGGCGTTTGTACCGACTCAAAAGTCATCTCCCTTCGCTTTCACCCTTGCCTGTCCCTGCACCAGCTGCTGTTGAGTTCTTTACACAGCAGTTTATGGCACGCCCCACTCTGACCATATGCAGGGTGACTTTTGAGTCGACTCAAAAAGCACCTTCTTTCACACAGCAGCGTATGGCACACCCCACTCTGACTGTATGCAGGGCAGCAGCATTTGCTGAAGCACCTCAAGTGTCATCTCATCGCCCCACTCCCTTTCTCACCCGTGAACCTTACTCCCCCTGCATCTGCCTTTCCAACACCCCCGCACCAGCTGCAGTGGCGGGAGCTCTTCTATTCTGCACGGCAGCGTATGCCACGCCCAACTGTGACTTCTGAGTCAACCGACAAGTTATTCTTCCCCCCGCTATTCTTCCAACAGCTGTTGTGGCGGGAGTTTTTCTACACGGCAGCATACGGCACGCGACGCCCCTCTTTGATCACATGCAGGGCAGCAGCATCTGCTAAATCACTCATTGCCCCACTCCCCCACGCATCCTGGTCCTTGTTCCTGACTCCCCCCGCACCAGCTGTTGTGGTGGGAGTTTCTCTGCACGGCAGCATACGGCACGCACACCCAACTTTGACCGCATGCAGGGCAGCAGCATTTGCAGGCAAATTACCCCCTCTCCCACCCATCCTTGTCCCTGTCCTTTTCCTGCTCCCCCCCCCCCCACACCAGCTGCTGTGGCGGGAATTCTTCTACACAGCAGCATACGGCACACCCAACTTTGATCGCATGCAAGGCAGCAGCATCTGCAGGCAGATTCCCTGGAAGGCAGATCCTGAGCTGTTGGTCGCGTGGCGAGATGCGAAAACCGGCTTCCCCTGGATCGATGCCATCATGGTTCAGGTGACTAATTCAGGTGGTAACTGGCGCAGGCAGAACCGGGTGCATGCAGGTAGCATCATGCAGGGCAGCAGCATCTGCAGGCAGATTCCCTGGAAGGTGGACACGGAGCTGTTGGCTGCGTGGTGAGATGCCCGGACCGGCTTCCCTTGGATCGACGCTATCATGGTGCAGGTAAGAATACCTGGTGCAGGTGGTAACTGGTGCAGGCAGAACCTGGTGCAGGCAGACCTGGTGCAGGCAGAACCTGGTGCAGGCAGAACCTGGTGCAGGCAGAACCTGGTGCAGGCAGAACCTGGTGCAGGCAGAACCTGGTGCAGGCAGAACCTGGTGCAGGCAGAGCCTGGTGCAGGCAGAACCTGGTGCAGGCAGAACCTGGTGCAGGCAGAACCTGGTGCAGGCAGAACCTGATGCAGGCAGAACCTGGTGCCTTGTAATGGACTCACTCCTCCCTTTTTTGCCTCTCTTCCCCACCCCATCCGCTTCCCAGCTCCGCCAGTGGGGGTGGATGCACCATCTGGCGCGCCACTGCGTCGCGTGCTTCCTCACTCGAGGCGATCTGGTAGGTTCTGCTCTGGGGTTGGTGCCTGGTAGGTTCTGCTCTGGGGTTGGTGCTTGTTGCTGTTAGTTTGTCTAATTTGTGCTTCAGTTGGTGCTCGTAGCTGGTGCTCGTAGCTGGTGCTTTGGTTCGATGAACCACTATATCCTACTGCATTTATTCTCCCATCATCCATTTGGACTTAGTGTGACTGATTGCTGTGTGGTAACTCACACTACACCCACCCAAACCCTGCTCCACTCCTCCCAGCCCCTCCCTCCTCTTCGCCACCTCCATCCAACCACACAGCTGGTGCAATATGGGATGGGGCAGGATCTTTTTTATTGCGCAGCTGGTGAAGGATATAGGTAGTGATGACATCAAAGCGTTTGGCAAGTGGTTAAATTGGTGTCCGGGTGTCAGGCGGGACATTGCACGCCTGACACCTGGACTAGTTTTGAGGCGCCTCAAAACTAGAATTGGTGTCTGGGTGTTGGGCGGGACATTGCACGCCTGACACCTGGACACCAATTTAACCATTTTCCAAACGCTTTGATGTCATCGCTTCCCATATCCTTCACCATCCGCTTTGATGTCATCGCCTCACTGCGCACTTGGTGCACTGGGAACTGGGTCGGCACGTGTTTGACCGCCTGCTATTAGCTGCGGATTGGGCCATCAACAACGCTGACTGGCTCTGCTCTCCGCATCTGCCTTTTTCTCCCACTACCCCCGCATCTACTCCCCCACAACTGCCTTGCAGGATGTGTGGTACTGGCTGCTGCGCTGTGGTGACTCACAATACCCCAACCAAACCCTGCTCCACTCCTTCCAACCCCTCCCTCCTCTCCCCACTCCCGCATTGACACAGTTGGTGCATTGAGAGCTGGGGCGAGATGTATTCGACCGGCTCTTGTTGGATAGGGATTGGCCATCAACAACGGCAACTGGCTCTGGCTCTCCCCTCCCTCACCCTGCTCCACTCCTCCCAACCACTCCATCCTCCCCATCCCTGCATTGACACAGTTGGTGCATTGAGAGCTGAGCCAAGATGTATCCGCGTCCGCCTTCTTCTCCCGGTATTACCGCATCTACTCCCCCATCACCCATCTGGGCTGGACGAGTGTGACAGCCTGCTGTGCTGTGGTGTGAATTACTCTACACCCACCAAAACCCTGCTTCCCCTCCCTCTCTCTTCCCCCTCCCTCTCTCTTCTCCCAACCCCTCACACGTCAGTTGGTACACTGGGAGCTGGGGCGAGACGTGTTCGACCGGCTGTTGGTGGACTCTGATTGGGCCATCAACAACGGCAACTGGCTTTGGCTCTCCGCCTCTGCCTTCTTCTCCCAGTACCACCGCATCTACTCCCCTGTCACCTTTGGCAAGAAATACGACCCCTCGGGGAAATTCATCCGCCACTTCCTGCCTGTTCTGAAAGGTGTGTTCTGAAAGGTGTGTTCTGAAAGGTATGTTCTGAAAGGTATGTTCTGAGTCGACTCAAAGCACTCCCAGTACCACCGCATCTACTCTCCCGTCACCTTTGGCAAGAAATACGACCCCTCGGGGAAATCATCCGCCGTTTTCTGCCTGTTCTCAAAGGTGTTTATCCCATGCTTATACTGTTTCATCTTTTTTTTTTTTTTTTTTGGTAGATTCTTCAGCACTTACCAGTGCAACATTTTATTGATTGTGGTGAAGGTCGTGTTGTGCTTGCATATTCACCCGCCAGAGATGCCGTCGCAGCACATCTACAAGCCATAGGAGCACCACATTGGCTACTCTGCCCCCCCTTCCACCTGCACACGCGCCCGCCAGACATGCCTTCGCAATACATTTACGAGCCGTGGACGACACCGCAATGAATCTTGAGTATACTCAACCACTTCCCCCCACCTCTCCTCCCACTACATCCACGCTCACGACACCAGACATGTCTTCGCAGTACATTTACGAGCCATGGACAGCACCTCTGGCTGTGACTTCTGAGTCCGCTAACTTTTCCGCCGCCAACCCCACATTCGCCCCCCCAACACCTGCACACTCACCCACCAGACATGCCGTCGCAGTACATTTACGAGCCATGGACCGCACCTCTGGCTGTGCAACGCAAGGCCAACTGCATCATTGGGAAGGACTACCCTCGTCCGAGTGAGTTGTTATGGAAATGAATTTAATTCACAAGCATTTTCCACTACTAGGTTCCCTCCTTCCCTGTAAGTCCTTATTTTCCTCTTCTTTTGGAACATATTTGCGTGGTTTACGGCCTGTCCCTTATGATCACGCCTGTGCCCGGTCTTTGTTTCTTAATTTGTCATGGCATTTGATTGTCTTTATTCACACTTTCCTTTTCTCCATCCCTTGTCCGCACCCAGTTGTCGACCATGCGGAGGCAAGTAAGCGGCGTCGAGTGTTGAGTCGACTAAGTTATAAGCATCTCTGTGCATTCCTTACCTCTCTTGCACTCTCAGTTGTCGACCACGCGGAGGCCAGTAAGCGGTGTCGAGATGTAATGGGGGCAGCCTACGCTGCAAACCGTGCGGCTGCCGGCGGTGCGAGCACATCAGGAAATCAGCCAGTTACCGCAACAACAGATCCTGCTACATCAAATGATCGTGCCGTATCAAGAAAGTCTACATTACATGCCAAAGAAGGCATTAGTGGTGATGGGGTGGATGTAGGAGGTAATTCAAATCAGAAGAGAAGAAGGGGTTCTGTTAATAAGGATGGTTCTCGAGAGATGGAGAGAGGCGAGGGCAGGTCTGATCCAATGAAAAAGAAGCAGAAGAGAATAGATGATATGTTTAGAGGTTGATTTGTTACATATATATGAAAACAAATGTGTACACTTGTTATGTCGTTGTAAGGAAAATTCCTTTTCCTTACTTCGCATCCCTGCTCATCGTGTACATCACTGTAGCACCACAGTCAGCGCCGTTACCACTCGCGACCCTCGCACCGACAATCCGCCCGCCACCTTCGCACCCCGACCTCACGGCTCGGCGGGTAACCCGCGCTCCGGGCCTCCGCTTCGACACTTTTTTCCCAACCACAGTGTTGAGAATAGAACGAGAATGAATGAACTATGAATGAAGTGAGTACAAATAGGAAACCCTAACTGGGTTGTACCCCCTATGGGATACCCCATTACAGCCTACACAATAGTATAAGCTATATATATGTTCTGACACACCCCCATAGGCAAAGTGGGGGAGAACAAGGGTCACAAGACCAGTCAAGCAAGACAAAGCAAAGCTCAGGGTGGATCACAAAGTCACCACACAGTCCGAGCACAAGAGCAAGGCCAAAGGCCAGTTCACATGCAAGAGTACAGACATATATATAAAGCTAGACAAGCAAGAGCAGGTATATATATGTCACAGTGGTGGTAAGCCAAGAGGGGGGGTGAGAGGACAGAACACGACGAGAGGAGGGGTGGTAAAACTGCCACCATGGAGCGTCAGGGGGGAAGCCAAGGAAGGCACAGGGAGCAGCACGAGGGGACAGCTTGTCCGCAGACAAGTCGCGGACAAACGCCCGAGATCCCCAGACACGGAACGCAGACGCATCGCCAACCTTCCCCGTCCACAGCAAGACTGGGGACATCGCAGGCCGAGAGACCCTGGGGTGAAGGTTGAGCTGATGCGCCGCGTACCGAACCGCAAACGGCCACAGAAAATGGGGGGCAGCCGCATGCATCATGGACGTACGAGCGACATCCATGACCATGCCAATGCGGCGCTCAGCAATCCCATTTTGCTGTGGAGAGTCCGGAAGCGTGAAGGTCTGGCGGATCCCCCGTGCACGACAGTAGTCTCGCAGAAGGCGAGAGGAGAACTCCCCGCCTCTGTCCGAGTGCAGATGCAGAACAGGAAAGTCCGAGCCGAAGCTCCTCCTGAGCTGGAGACGAGCCTCGCGGATCCAGTCGATCAGCACCTCAGTGACAGCACCCTTGCTGCGCAAGGGGAGGACTGTGGTGTAACGCGAGTAGTCGTCAACCACCAACAGGAAGTAGCGCTCGTGACCCTGCCCACGGACGGGGGCTGGGCCCCACACGTCCATGTGAAGTGTCTGCAGAGGAGCCTCTGTCGGGGGGAACTGGGAGGAGTGAGGAGCAGCCCGGAGGCGCCCCTCGACACAGGGGACACAGGAAGGTCCTGGCCCCGAAGGAAGGGGAGGGAGAGACTGGGGAAGACCAGAGACAAGGACACGGAAAGCCATGCTCCGAAGACGGGGCAAGGAGGGGTGGCCCAGACGGTGGTGCCACAGGAGGGTCTCGTGAGACAGGAGGCGACACGAACAGGGGACAGACTCAGGGCCAGACCGGGACGCAGCAGCAAACACCTGACCTGACGCAGCTACCTGACCAGACGCAGGGACAGGAGGAGACGTAGTGGTCAGGGTGTAGAGGCTCGACCCCGGCCGACGCGAGAACGTGGCCAGGTGCCGGCCTGTGCGTGCCTCCGTGCAGTGGGTCACCCGCTGACTCGCAGGAGTGAACTGGTGAACCCCCGCATCCTGTAGGTCCGCACCACTCACCAAGTTCGTCGAGAACGAGGGAAGGTACAGACCAGACAGGGTGCCCGAGGGGGCAGCCGGACACGGGAGGACAGTGGAAAAGTGAGAGAGGACAGGACCCCCAGAGGGGTCAGCCAGGGAGACTGCAACCGGCCGACTAAGCGGCGTGAGGGTGGTGCGGTCTCGAAAGAAGGAGCGAGAAGCCCCGGAGTCAAGTGTGAAAGTGAGGGAGGACGAAGGCGACGCAGTACCTGAGAGCGCAGTCTCACCAGTACCTGAGAGCGCAGACGCACTGGCACCTAGAGCAGCAGCCTCACAAGCACCTAGCGCAGCAGTACCAATGCCCGGGTCGGGCGGGAAACACGGGTAACAGTCACCCTCCTCACTAACAGTCACAGCATACATAGCAGCAAGGATAGCATCAAAGTCAAGATCAAAGATCGCTACACCAGCCCTAAGAAGCTCATCCCAGCGGGGGATCTCACTAGCCTCGGGGAACTGCTGACGCCAAGCGTCCGTCAGGCGGCCAAAGCAGCGCTGGGTGGGGTGGGCACCCCCACACTGCTCACCCGCGCGGTCGCCGGAACGAAGGACGTAGGCACACGGACCAGCACCCCCACCCCTCTGACGCCGAGCGTACCACTCACGGAGCTGCTGGGGCGGAGGGATGTCCCGCGAACGCTGCTGCTGCTGCTGCTGCTGCGGGCGCTGACCACCACCACCGCCGCTCCGCTGCTGGGTACCACCCCGACCAGCTCCACCCCCTCCGCCACCACCGCCTCCTCCTCCGCCCCCTCCACCGCCTCCACCGCCACCGCTGCCGCCACCACCACCGCTGCCGCCACCTCCGCCGCCTCCGCCGCCGCTGCCACCACTACCACCACCACCCCCTCCACCACTCCCGCCGCCACCCCCACTCCCTCCGCCGCCTCCACCGCCACCTCCACCGCCCCCTCCAGCTCCACCCGCGCCCTTGCCCCCCTTGCCCTTGCCAGAGCGGCGTCGCCCACTAGGGGTAGACGCCGCGCCGACCGACTCAAGACCAAGCAGGTCGGCAGCAGCAGCAGAGGCAATAGAGGGTAGTAGGGGGGAAAGAGAGCACCCCTCAAAGATGGGGGTGCGAGGGTCACCCCGAGAAGCTCCTACAGCGACGATGCTCTTCTCCGCCGCGAGGAGGGCCTTCTCGAGGAGGTCGACAGTGAGGGTGGTGGGACAGACTGCGAGAAAGTGGTCCCTGACTACGCGAAGAGAGTCAGGGAGGCGCGCGACTACGTAGTAGAGAGTGATGTACATCGGGGGGGGGGTTCTTGGCGCAGAACTCAGCAGGAAGGGCGGCGCGGTAGCGAGTGTCACTAGTGCGGAGGTGCGTAATGAGGTCAGCGACAGTGGGAAAGGCAGAGAGGTCAGGAAAGAGGTAGGGAAGAATGAGACGGCTCAGTGCAGCAGTGGCAGGGGAAGAGTAGCGCGCAACTACAGCGTCGTACAAGGTCTGAGCACTCTTGTACTGACTAAAGTGCGCGCGCTCAGAGGTAGGGAGGTGGCGACGCACAGCAAGACGTGCAGCAGCATCGCGGGTAGCCCACTGAGAGCGCACAGTGGGATCAGCATCAGCAGCAGGGGCAGGAGAGGCGCCAGAAGTGAGGTCAAAGAGAGAAAGGCCGTCTGCTCTATCGCACTGCAAGAACAGCTGCAAGTCGTCGACCCAGACCTCAAAGTCAATGGCGCGACCCTCAGCGTCAAAAGCGAGGACACTAGGGGTAGCCATGACAGCAGTAGACGGTCTCACCAGACAGGACGGGTCGGGCAGCGCAGTAGCACAGCAGCACAGCAACACAGCAGCTCAACCGGCTCAGTAGCAACAGCAGCCTCGCAGGACCAGCGGCTCGGCTCCTCAGGCGGTGCAGGCGGCTCGGGCGGCTCGGGCGGCTCGGGCGGCTCGGGCGGCTCGGGCGGCGCGGGCGGCTTGGGCGGCTCGGGCAGTCCACTGGTCCTTCTCCTCCCGTAGAGTGTCCGCAGCGTGTCCCGTCACGGTCACAGTTACAGCCCGCCTCTCCTCTGCCTTCTCCTTCTCCCTACGCTGGTCCTACTGGAGGTCTTGCTGAGCGTCGTGAGCCTGCGTCCCGCCCTGTGTCGCCAGTCCGAGCTGCTCGCACTAGTGGTCGCGCTTCGCGTCAGCGTCCTCCTCCTGTCCCTGGCACGCACCAGATGTCTGTGCGTTCGTCCACTGCTCCTCTGCGTGCCCCTTTGCCTTCTCCTCCTCAGTCTTCTCTTCCTACTCTTGCCGACCCGGAGTCGGACTCTCACCGTGCTGCCAGTCCTACTGTCACGCGTCTTCTTGCTTCTCTTGTCACTGACCCTTCCTTAGAGTCCGCTGCTGCGTCTGCCCTAGTTGCTGAGCTGGTCGACTTTGCTGCTGGGTGTCGTCTGGACTACGCTGCCAGTCTTGTTGCTGAGTCTGCTGAGTCTGCGTCTGCTGCGTCTGCGTCTGCCTGTCCTCCGTCCGTCGGGGGTGACTGTGCTCTTGGCACGGACGTCCTTGAGGACAGGCAGGAGGAGTTCCAGTGCTTTGCCGCCGCTTTGCCCCATCTCGTGTCCATGCTTGTTGCCCCAAAGGGAGACCCGGATGCTCTAGACATCCCGACCCCACGCTCTTACGCAGAGGCGATGGCCGGTCCCTACTCCTCTCAGTGGCAGTCAGCCATGGACGCAGAGATGGCTTCCTGGAAGTCCACAGGCACCTACGTTGACGCTGTTCCCCCTCCTGGGGCGAACATTGTCAGTGGCATGTGGATCTTCAGGGTGAAGCGGCCGCGGGGTTCTCCGCCTGTCTTCAAGGCGCGCTACGTGGCTCGTGGCTTCAGTCAGCGACAGGGAGTTGACTTCTTTCAGACCTTCTCCCCGACCCCGAAGATGACCACTCTTCGGGTTCTACTGCACGTCGCTGCTCAGCGTGACTACGAGCTACACTCTCTTGACTTCAGCACTGCTTTCCTGCAGGGCCGCCTGCACGAGGAGATCTGGCTGCGCCGCCCTCCTGGCTTCACTGGGTCGTTCCCTCCTGGTACCCAGTGGAGCCTCCGGCGGCCAGTCTACGGTCTCCGCCAGGCGCCGCGTGAGTGGCACGACACACTGAGGACTACACTTGCGGCTCTTGGGTTTGCTCCTTCTACTGCTGACCCGTCGCTGTTTCTGCGCACCGACACCTCGCTGCCGCCGTTCTACATCCTCGTGTACGTCGACGACTTGGTCTTTGCCACTGCTGACACTGCCGCACTCGCCCACGTGAAGTCCGAGCTGCAGAAGAGACACACGTGCACAGACCTGGGTGAACTGACAAGCTATCTTGGCTTGCGGATCACCCGGGACAGAGCACGCCGCACCATTACCCTGACTCAGTCACACATGGTGCAGCAGGTCCTTCAGCGCTTCGGCTTCACGTACTCCTCGCCTTAGTCCACTCCTCTGCCTACGGGACACTCGCTCTCAGCTCTGCCTTCGGATGAGTTCGTAGAGTCGAGTGGTCCGTATCCAGAGCTTGTGGGCTGCCTCATGTACCTGATGACTTGCACTCGACCTGACCTTGCATACCCTCTCAGCATCTTAGCACGCTATGTTGCTCCCGGCCGTCACCGGAAGGAGCACATGGATGCAGCTAAGAGGGTGTTGCGCTACTTGTGCAGTACGTCGGGCATGGGGCTAGTGCTTGGAGGGCGTGAGCGGCCTGTGCTCACTGGGCACTCAGACGCTTCTTGGGCTGACGACCAGGCTACTCAGAGGTCGTCTCAGGGTTACACCTTCAGTCTTGGCTCTGGCTCTGTCTCTTGGCACTCTACTCTCTCTTCTTCGGTTCTCAGCTCCAGCTGTGAGGCTGAGATCTACGCCACGGCCATGGCTGCCCAGGAGCTTCGCTGGCTCACCTACCTGCTGACTGACCTTGGAGAGCGGCCTCGTTCTCCTCCAGTGCTGTACGTCGACAACAAGGCAACCATTGCCTTGAGTGAGGAGCACAGACTGGAGCACAGGACGAAGCACATTGCTCTGCGCTACTTCCTTGCTCGAGAGCTGCAGCAGCGTGGTCAGCTTCGCCTGCGTTACGAGGCCACTGAGGCCAACACTGCTGATGTGTTCACCAAGGCACTTCCGCCTCGTGACCATCAGCGCTTTTGCACTCTGCTAGGCCTTGTGCCCAATGGGCCTCACTTGCTTACCTCTTGACCTTGCTTGTACTGCTGCATATATATATCCTTGCTCTTGGTTGTTTAGCACTGTTATATATATATGCTCTGCTGCATGTGAACTGGCCTTGTGGCCTTGACCTTGTGCTCGGAATTTGTGTGGTATCCTTGAGATCCACCCTGAGCTTGCTTTGCTTTGCTTTGCTTTGCTTGACTGGTCTTGTGACCCCTTGCTCTCCCCCACTTTGCCTATGGGGGTGTGTCAGATGATTATATTACTGATGCATATATTTAGGCTGTAGTGGGGTAGCCCATAGGGGATACAGCCCAATTAGGGTTGGTACTTGTACTTGTTTCATTTCATACTGCACTCATTCTCTCTCTAATCTCAACAGCCACGACCGAGGCTCTCGATGAACTCGCCCGACACCCCCGCCATGGCCGAATTTACGCTCGCCACATTGACGCAGGAGCAGCTTGACCGTCTGGTGCGCCAACTTGAAGATTCGGCGCTCGAAATTGCGACGCTCACGGCGGAACGTGACTCCGCACGTCAGCAATCTACGGTGAACATTCCAGCGCCACCACACGCACCGACAAATGCATCGGCACAATCGGACGAGCCGATCGTCATCTCGTCTGGCACACCAACGCAACACGACAGCATGGGACAGCGCTCAGGCGCAGCAAGTGATGGCGCCGCCCAGCCAATGCCTGGCATGGGAGGAAACAGGGTCGCACCAAGCCCGCGGGAGCCTCGTGAAGCCTGCGGCACGTGGAGTTCGCGGCGATAAGTGGCGAACAGGCCATTATGGCACCTATGCCACTCAAGCCGCAACGCCCGCCCTGCTTCGACCCAAGCCAACGTGGAGGCTCGACGGTTCAATCGTGGGTCTTCGCGATGAATGTCTTCTTCGACGCGAATTACGTCAAGTCGGACGCAGCGAAGATTCGGTATGCCGTTTCGCTGTTGAGGGGCCGCGCCATGGTCTGGTGGCGAGTCATCGTGACGTCGCCACGCGCCTACGAGCCACCGTCGCAAGAGGAAGGGCCCACGGGCCCAGCTGTCACCTGGAGTTCATTCTACGAGACCGCCCAATACAGCACGTGGGACGCAGCGAAGATTCGGTGTGCCGTTTCGCTGCTAAGGGGCCCCGCCATGGACTGTTGGCAAGTCATCGTGACGTAGCCACGCGCCTACGAGCCACCGTCGCAAGAGGAAGGGCCCACGGGCTCAGCTGTCACCTGGAGTTCATTCTGCGAGACCGCGCAATACAGCACGTGGGATGCGTGGTGCGCAGGGCTTCGGGCGCGCTTCGAGCCGATCGCGGCTTCGATTTCGGCGCGTCAGAGATTGCGCACTTGGCGGCAGCTTGGATCGGTTCAAGACTATACGAGTGGTTTTCTCGCATTATGCGAGCAAGTCGGCTACATGCACGAAGCGGAGCGGGTGGACGGTTACGTTGGAGGGTTGAAGCCGGACATCTCGAATGAAATCATGCTACGCGGGCTCTCGAACTTCAACGAGATTCTCGCGCTCGCCGAGAAAATCGACATTTTACGCCGTCCGAGACCAGGGTCCTACTATGGACATCGTCCTCGGGGACCGATCAAGCACGCCACTATACACGCTGTTGCGACGAATGCAGCTGCCGCGCCGTTTAAGGGGCGCTGCTTTGCTTGCAATAGGCCAAGCCACCGCAAGAGCGAATGTCCAGAGGAGCTAAGGCGCCGCGGAGCAGAGCAGGGGAGGGAGTCTCCAAAGCAGGGAAACGCCAGCAGTCAGTAGGAATCGGGCCAACTACTGACGAGACTGCCTGCTCGCCCAACCCCACCGACCCTCACCGAGTCACAGTACCGATTCATGCTATCGATCGGACTCCGACGAATAAGGAGGGTACAGCGACGGATTGCCCAGTACTGATCCACGGGAAAATACAGGGAGCAGCAGTGAAGATTTTTATCGACGGAGGAGCAAGCCACAGTTTAGTTAATACCGCAACCGCACGAAAACTACAGCTGACACTTAGCCGTTGCTTACCGGAGATAGACGCACGCTTAGTCGACGGCACGCCACTGGCCAAACGGGAAAAGGTAGAGAGAGTCAAAGACCGCTGCAGGGGAAATTTCGGGTTTACACAGGAAATGCTCGCAACGACACTGGATGGGCACGATATTTTACTGGGACGTGATTGGCTGGGACGGTATAACCCGCGAATTGACTGGACGACGGGTAGCTGCACCGTGCGAAGTAGTGGTAATTGGGTCGAGCTACCTTGCTGGCGGTCGCCCGAGTCTTCAACGGTACACGTGAACGCCATCACAATGAAACGGGCTGTCGCTGCTGGAGCTGACGTGTACGCAGTAGACATCGCAGTAGTAGAGGAAGCGGAGCAGCCGAGTGATTTCAAGAAACTGCTGGCAGCCGTATCGCCCGAATTACAGGTTCTGTTGAAACGATACCCCGGGATTTTTCCCGACCACTTACCGGAAGGACTGCCACCTCAGCGAGCACATGACCACCGAATCGAATTAGAACCGCGGGAACAGCCAACCGTACAGCGCCAGTTCAGACTGACACGGCCCGAGCTCGATGAACTAAGGAAGCAGTTAGATTACCTGTTACAAAAAAAATTCATCAGACCGAGCTCGTCACCGTTTGCTATGAAAGTTAGAAGAGAGAAGAGGGCTGCACTAGCAAGAATGGGGATACAAATAGGAAACCCTAGAAGGGTTGTACTCGCTATAGAGCACCCCACTACAGGCTAGAGCATAAGATAACATTCTGACACACCCCCATAGCCAAAGTGGGGTGTAATCAGCAGAGCAAGCAAAGCAGTACAAGCTCAGGGTGGATCACAATGTCACCACACATTCTGAGCACAAGTTCAAGAAGCAATAGTTTAAAGTTAACAATTATGAGCAAAGCTAGTGGTAGTCACAACGGGCAAGTGAGGAGGAGGTGAGAGAGTGAGAGGAGAGGAGATAGGAGGCGACGGATGAAGCTGCAGACACACGGGCAACAGGAGGCACACTGGCACAGCGGCTACCGGAAAAACGCTCCGGAATACTGGAGTAACTGGCCCCGCGGCTAAAGTAGCCGCAGACGAGCAACGGACCCACGGGCGGCTGGCACAGCTGGCTACGACTGGGCTACCGGACGAAGTCCCCGGAATACAGGTGCTGCTGGCGACACGACGGCAACCTCCATTCAGCTTCCCCAAACTATCCCACTCCCCCTGGCACACACCCACTGCTACACCGCTAGCTCCACTCCCACGCACCCCCCTTAAACCCTAAACCCCAGTCTCCCACTCATCCACCCCCCTCAGCGTCAGTTGCAGCAGTGGGAGACGAAGGAGGAGGAGGAGCAAAGGGAGGAATGCACAGCTGCCACCCCCATACTCGCCACCCCCATACTCGCCACCCCCATACTCGCCACCCCCATACTCGCCACCCCCTACTCGCCACCCCCGCAAGCGGCCCCCTCAGGTCGCCTCGACAGGCGACGGGAAAAGGAGGGGGGGGGGGGGGGGGGGGGTGCACATGCCGCAGGTAGGGCGACGGAGCCGGGGTCGCAGGTAGGGCGATGGGGCCGGGGCGCTGGTAGGGCGACGGGGCTAGGGCCGGGGCCGCAGGTATGGCGACGGGACCGGGGTCGCAGGTGGCGCGACGGGGCCGGGGTTGCAGGCTGGGCGACGGGGCCGGAGCCGTAGGTAGGGCGACGGGGTGCGACGCGCGGGTCCCCGTCGCCCGTCGCAGCGCCTCCCGGGGGGGGCGCGCCGAGTGACGGGGCAGAAACCCGTCGCGCGCCTCGGGGCGCACGGCGGGCAGAATACCGCCGCACGCCTCGGGGCGCACGGCGAGCAGAAAACCGCCGCGCGCCTCGGGGCGCACGGCGGGCAGAGAACCGCCGCACGCCTCGGGGCGCACGGCAGGAAGAAAAACTGCCACACGACACGGGGCGTGCCGCACAGAGAGTAGCAGTAGTAGTTGCAGCGGAAGCAACGAGGTGGTGAGCCCACCTACAGGATCGATCCAAGGGGATCGACCTGCTCTGATAGCATGTGAAAGTTAGAAGAGAGAATAGGGCTGCACTAGCAAGAATGGGGATACAAATAGGAAACCCTAGAAGGGTTGTACTCGCTATAGAGCACCCCACTACAGGCTAGAGCATAAGATAACATTCTGACATTCGCCGCACCGATACTATTTACGACGAAAAAAGACGGGGGTTTTCGCATGTGTATCGACTACAGAGCACTAAACAGGGTAACAGTCTAGTCGCAGTACCCCATTCCCTGTGCCGACGAACTGATCGACCAACTGCGAACAGCACGGGTTTTTTCGAAAATCGATTTACGGGGAGGTTACCATCAGATTAGGGTCGAACCATCGGACTGCGCCAAAACAGCTTTCAGGACTAGATACGGGTCGTTCGAGTACACTGTGATGCCATTCGGGCTGACCAACGCACCGGCGACTTTTCAGATGACCATGAACGAGGCATTTAGGCCGCTCTTAGATAAATGCGTAATAGTTTACCTCGACGACATTCTAGTGTACAGTCGGGATAAGCAGCAGCACTTAGCAGATCTGGAAGCAGTGTTTAAGGTTTTAGACGAACACATATTACTGACCAAGGGTTCCAAGTGCGAGTTCTTCCAGGATAGGTTAGAATTTTTGGGGCACGTTATTTCAGAGGCTGGAGTTGAAATCGACCCAAAGAAGCTGGATACGGTAAAAGCGTGGCATCCCCCGACGAACATGTGAAAGTTTAGAAGAAAGAAGAGGGTTGCACTAGCAAGAATGAGGATACAAATAGCAGACCCTACAAGGGTTGTACTCGCTATAGAGCACCCCACTAAAGGCTAGAGCATAATATTCTGACAGAACATCACGGAGCTGCAGAGTTTTTTAGGGTTCGTTAACTATGTGCGTCGGTTCGTCCCCGATATGGCACGGTTAACTGCCCCACTGACGGATTTACTGCGAAAGGGGGTCGCTTTTACGTGGGGGGAGAAAGAGCATGCTGCCTTCTCTGCCCTGAAAAATGTTCTCTGTTCACCACCCGTCCTGCGCATCGCCGACCCTTACCGCCCATTCGAAGTAGTTACCGACGCAAGCGATATCGCCATCGGAGCCGTACTGCTACAGGATTTTGGCAATGGCCTACAGCCTATCGCATACGAGTCACGAAAACTGCATCCGCCCGAGAAAAATTACCCGATACACGACCGCGAAATGTTTGCGATCGTGCACGCGTTCAACGTATGGCACTGTTACTTGACTGGCGCGGACGTGACAGTACGGACAGACCAAAAATCACTACAGTACCTTCGCGCACAGCCACACCTCAACCCACGACAAATTCGCTGGCTCGATTTCCTCGAGTCTAACTTTCACTACACGGTCACTAACAAAAAGGGAGCCTCGAACATCGTCGACGCACTGACCCGCCCCACTGCCCAGATCCACGCAATACTACTCGCCCAGACAAGCCTGCTACTGACAGGCCTATTCACCCACGGGTACCAAACGGATCCATTCTTCACAGGAGGAAATTCGCAGCAGTTCGCAACAGCAAAGGGAGTCTATTACGTAAAAACCGGGACTGACCGCATCTGGGTGCCTGGGTATACACTGCTTCGAGAATTACTGTTACAGGAGGCACACGACGGAGTTACCTCGGGGCATTTCGGAGTAGAAAAAACACGGCAGCAGCTGCAGCGGTATTATTACTGGCCCGAAATGTTGACCGACGTACAACGACACGTGGCATCGTGTCCCACTTGTCAGCTCATGAAATCATCACGACAGCGGCCGGCGGGACAGTTACTGCCGATACCAACCCCAGAGCGTGCTTGGCAGCAGGTGTCGATGGACTTCGTCACGGGGTTACCAGCCGGGGCGAGTGGGAACGACGCGATCCTGGTCGTCGTCGATCGACAGACGAAAATGGCACATTTCGCAGCCTGCAAAAAATCAATCACAGCCGAAGAAACAGCACGCCTCTTCATCTCCACCGTCGTTCGACTGCACGGGATACCAGCCGCGATCATCAGCGACCGCGATACGAAATTCACCATCAACTTCTGGCAGAACCTGTGGCAGCAGTTCGGCACGCGACTATAGTTCAGTTCATCATACCACCCCGAAACCGACGGACAGACAGAACGGACAAATCAGACCATGGAACAGCTCATCAGGGCCACGTGTGACGACCCGACCACGTGGGAACAGCAACTGCCACTAATCGAATTCGCGTACAACAACTCGCCATCCGCCACGACCCAACAGTCACCATTTTACCTAAACTACGGACAAGGCCCGACAGTACCCATGACCCCGAATCCCGACAACCCAGTACCACGAGCACAACAGTTCGCCGAAATATACAAGCAGCACGGACCCGGGCAGTAGACGCAATAAAAAAATCGAACATCATCGCTAAACGCAACGCCGACCGCCACCGCAGACCTGTCACTTACCAGCCCGACGACTTAGTTTTATTTGACACTCAGAACTTCCGACTGCCCATCACCCCGAAACTCCGCCCCCGATACTGCGGGCCATTTCGCATAAGCCACATGCTTACACCCGTCACCGCCCACCTCCTCCTCCCTGCTGACTGGTACGTCAGCCCCTCATTCCACGTCAGCCTACTTCGCCCTTACGTCCCGTCCACAAGCCAACTGCCACGCAATCGCCCAGCCAGCATGACAAGACCACCAACTGAACCAATCATCACCCCCGAGAAAATCCTGAGTCACAGAGTTCGCGACCCTCGAGGAGCCCGAAGGATCGAGTTCTTACTCCGCTGGAAAGACCGTGCACCCACCGAAGACAATTGGGTTCCCCTGGACAGAATCGAAAACCACCCCGTCCTCACCGAGTATCTGCGCAACCGCAATTTCAGGGATGTACACGTACTTTCGTAAGGAGGACCTCCTTAGGAGGGGGGGTAGTGCAAGGAAAATTCATTTTCCTTACTTCGCATCCCTGCTCCACGCGTACATCACTGTAGCACCACAGTCAGCACCGTTACCACTCGCGACCCTCGCACCGACAATCCGCCCGCCACCTTCGCACATCGCACCTCGACCTCACGGCTCGGCGGGTAACCCGCGCTCCGGGCCTCCGCTTCGACACTTTTTCCCAACCACAGTCCCAGGCCCGTCGCGCGAAAACCACAGTCCATTACCGTTACCACTGTAGTTTCGCTATATATCCTTCGCTCATGCCTTAGCTCATTGCACTCTTGCTTAGATAGTGTAATTCTCATTCGTTCACTCAATTGCACTCTTAACAGTCGTGAAGATTTTTCGAGTAATGAGTTTTTAAAAACATTGACGAACACGAATCCCAACCAGCGATCGGAATCCCAGCACTCAATTTTTTTAGGTAATCCCAATACTGTCCCATCGAGTCGCGTTTTCATAGATCACCTAATCTAGCAAGGCTTTATTCTAGTAAGCCGTCATTAGCGCACAAGTAGCTGCCGTGGCAGCCTCTAAGAGAATAGGGGAACCGCGAATAAGCGTGTGCTGGTCGTTTTTATTTCATCCGGTTGGAGGAAATGCCGATCGCACCGCCAGCTTCTAAGACGCCTCAAACGTAGCCGCGAATAAGCCTGTGCTGGTCGTTTTTATCTGACGAAATGCCGATCGCACCGCCATGCAGCGCAGGAGGAATCCCCGTACGGACGTGCCACGTGTCGCTCGAGGGGATGGTCTTTCACGGGTTTCACGGGGTTCTTCCCGAGGAGCGCGTGTTGGGGCAGAAGTTCGTGGTTGACACGTGGATGTGGCTTGCGGATTCGCCGCACCAACATACGTTACAAGAGGATTCGTTACAAGAACATCCGTTTGATTACTCTCACGTCTACAAGTACGATGCCCTGTCATCGAGCATCTGCCTTCGTGCCACGACTTGAACTGATCTCTCCTCTCCTCTCCCTCGTTCTCCTCACCCTCCCCCCCACTCTCCCTTCCACTCTCCCCTCTCCCCCTCCTCCCCTTCCCCTCCGCGGCGTTTCTTTGCGCCCATCGCGTCGTTGATACCCCCTCCGCTCCCCCCTATGACGGGCCCCCCTACATTTTTGCGCCCATCACTGCCCTTCGTCCTCCCTGCCCCCTCTCCTTTCCATCCCCCCCCCCTTCCCTCCTTCCTTATCCCCTCCTCCTTCTCCCTATCCTTTCCCGTTCCAGCATTGTGCGTGCGGAAATAACTGGCCCCCCTCACCTCCTATTGGAGAGCCTGGCGTATTCCGTGGGCCGCCAGCTGCTGCTGACGTGTCCTGAGCTGGCACGCGTGGCTCTCCGCGTCAGCAAGCCACATGTCGCCTTCACAGGGGTGCTCAAATCCGTGGGAATCCAGCTGGAGTGCAAAAGGCAAACACTGTGAGTGCAAATCATACTAATTTTATATTTAAAAGCATTAGCCTTAGTTCTGTTATGGTAGCTCTCTGGTCTATTACCTGGGTCCTCTCCCACTTTAAATGAACCGTTTGTTTCACATAAAATATTCGTTTCTGTTTTGGCAGTATTTTACTCATTGTATCAAACTAAGAACTTAATTTGGAAGAGTTCTAACGCAAGTGGTCATGCTCCCTCCATCCCTCCTTTCCCACCATCCCTCCATCACTCAATTTTTGGCCAACCCTCAATCCTTCCAGTTCCCGCCACCTATCCATCCCCCGAAATTCCCCTCAGGCAGAAGGGAAGGCGTACAAATGGGTGACACTGAAGAGAAGAAGGACAGACGAGGAGAGGAGGGGGAGGGGGAGGGAGGGGAAATGCAGGGGCAGCGGGATATTGAGACCCTTTTAAACAAGACAGAAAGAGAAGAGGAGGACGAAAGAGGGGGGAAGCAGGGACAAGGGGATGCGACGGTGGTGGTGGTGGAAGGAGAGAGTAGTATGCTGGTGCTGGAAGGACAGGGCGGGGCAGGGGGGGGGCAGGAGCGGCGAGATGCTGCTGTGGTGGTGGTGGAAGGAGAGAGTAGTATGCTGGTGCTGGAAGGACTGGTGTTCTATTGCCAAGGCAGGGGGGGGAGAGGCGAGGGGAAAAAGGGGGGAGAAGGGGGAGAGGGAGGGTTTTCCGGTGCAGGTGTCAAGAATTCTCGTGCTGGCGTTGAGAGCTGTTATACACGTGTGGAGGTGGACGTGTGTGCGTGGGTGAACCTGGCTGCTGCAGCGCAGTCAGATGAGCTTCAAGACTCGGTGGACTATGGGGAGATCTACACGTGAGTGTTTCTCTTGAGGCTTCTAAATCATCTTGGGTTACCTCGTTGCTGCAGCGCAGTCCGATGAGCTTCGGGACTCGGTGGACTATGGGGAGATCTACAAGTGAGTACGATTCCTTGGATGGTGGTGGTGATAACTAACTCATGACACTCAACATCTGTACACTATTGGCCATCTCTCCTTTCAATCCTTCTTCTCTTCCCTCTCTCTTCCCCTCCCTCCTCTTCTTTGCCTGATCCCTCTCGCCCCCTCTCGCCCCCTCCCACACCAAGCTCCTCAAGGCTCTTCTCCTTTCCTCGTACACCCCAGAAGTCCCAAATTCTTTTTGTTTAGTTAGATAGACTCGTGACACCCTACACGTCCCACAGTTTCTCCTCCCCGTCATTCTGTTCTGCTCTTCGCTTTTCACAAACCCCCCTATCCCTCTCCCCCTCCCCGTACCCCTCCCCCTCCCCCTCCCCCTCCCACTCCACCTCTTACTCAGCATTGCACGACGGCACGTTGAGAGCCATCAATCCCCCCCACTCGCCTCCCTCGCACTCCCCCCTCTCGCCCGCACCATCGCTATGACCATCCGCACATCCCTGCCCCGCGTGAAGAGAGTGTGGGTGCGCCTGGCCGCTCCTGCTCCCGCCTCCCTGCCTGGGGTGGTTGGTAGCGCTGCAGCACAGGTCACCCTCTAAAGGCAGTCCACAACTGTAGCAGCGACCACACGTAATCAACCCAGCAGAACCCTCCCCCCTCTCGCCCGCACCATCGCTACGACCATCCGCACATCCCTGCCCCGCGTGTACAGAGTCTGGGTGCGACTGGCTGCTCCTGCTCCCGCCTCCCTGTCCGGGGCTGTTGGGTGCGCTGCAGCGCAAATCACCCTCTAGGGAGAGGTGCTAGGTGGGTGCACGGCTGTCGCTCTCCTGGGTGAAGAGAGTCTGCATGCGACTGGCTGCTCCTGCTCCCGCCTCCCTACCTGGGGCGGTTAGGCGCGCTGCAGCAGAGGTCACGTTGTAGGCAGAGCAGAGACTGCAATAGAATCTGAAGGCCACTAGAGCCCATACACCCGTCCCCGCCCGCCCTCCCCCCTCTCGCCCGCACCATTGCTACCACCATGCGCACCACTCTCACCCGCCTGCACGGAGCCTGAGTGCTACTGGCCGCTCCTGCTCTCGCCTCCCTGTCCGGGCCTGTTGGGTGTGCTGCAGCTGAGATCACCCTGTAGACAGATATTGCACTGTGTGCCGAAAATGCTCCAGTGTAGCAAGTGCTGCATATTTTTGACATCTAATGGTTTATGTTCATAAACGTTCATTGAAACCGTCATAACAAAATTTCCTTGCTTCAATAGTGGCACTAAAACAAATATTTATACATATGTATAAATACTATAGTGCGGTAATAATATCAGTCCATACTAGAGCCCCATGTAACACATGGATCGTCGTCCATTACTAATAGCAATTTCTTCTTGCCCTGAAAGTGTACCGCCAGCAATTGCACCACCTCCCCTTTGTTTTGCCTCCTGCCCACAAAAGGCTCGAAATATTCGTAACGCACTGAGGTTGGCGTCTTCATGCCTTCCCTCGGGCAGAAGTGAAAAATTTTCTTCTTGCCCTGGGGTAAGAACAGAATGAAAGATTAGGCATAAGGGGCAGGCAGCAAGCAATGGAGGTAGTGACTTAAAAGGTGTCTTTCTAAAGGTTTGTAGTGTTCTCTAGGGATTTATTTTTCCTTTCATTTTCTTTTTTCTTTTCCTTTTCTTTTTCTTTTTCCCTTCGTGATTGAGGCTTCTGTGCTAATGAAAGATGCTGCTACAGTGCCTGCCCCCATTACAGAGCCGCCACTCGATGCTGGTAGATACTTAGGGTACATTCCTGTCTTGACATTTGTGTCACAAAGCGGCGGTACCGCTCTGTACCGAATCGAACCGCTTTGTTGAAACATTTCGAACTTCGGTTCGATTCGGTACAGAGCGGTACCGCTGCTTTGTGACACGAATGTCAAGACAGGAATGTTCTCTTACAATTAAAAAGTACCATACCATACCATAAAACGTTGTGCAACAGCGTACAAAGCCATACAATGCCGTACAAACTTGAAACTGCAACACCCAGCAACAATTCAGCAGCAGCATACTCACAACAGAGAAGTTGTTATCGAAGGCACACCACCCGGCATTGCTCCAAGCACTCGCCTCACACTGCCGCGGCGCACACAGCGACTCCGCCTTAAAGGCTGGCTGGAACTTGCCGTGCAGACGCGGGTACTGGGCGGATCCCTCGTCCTTGCACTGCCGGGGAAGGAGAGGGAGAGGGGGGAAGGGGGAAACCAAGAAAGGGGGAAAGCGGGGGAGGGTGGAAGGGGGAAAGGGGAAAAGTTGAGAGGCGAGACCTTGTCCGAGCAGGCGGGGGTACTGGGCGGATCTCTCCTTGTCCTTTTCATTGAGGGGAAGGGAGAAAAACAATGGACAGGGAAAAGGTTGGAAGGGAGCAGGGGGGAATTCTCAGCTGTACCACCGCACCTCCCCAGCTGCACCACCGCACCACCCCAGCTGCACCACCGCACCGCACCCCAGTGCACCGCAGCCCACCCCATCCCAGCAGCAGCATGGCGGTAGAAGGAGCGGGGTGGCGTGTCCCTCGGCTCGTCGGGAGCCAAGCGTGTCCCTCGGCTCGTCGGGAGCCAAGCGTGTCCCTCGGCTCGTCGGGAGCCAAGCGTGTCCCTCGGCTCGTCGGGAGCCAAGCGTGTCCCTCGGCTCGTCGGGAGCCAAGCGTGTCCCTCGGCTCGTCGGGAGCCAAGCGTGTCCCTCAGATCGTCGGGAGCCAAGCGTGTCCCTCGGCTCGTCGGGAGCCAAGCGTGTCCCTTGGCTCGTCGGGAGCCAAGCGTGTCCCTCGGCTCGTCGGGAGCCAAGCGTGTCCCTCGGCTCGTCGGGAGCCAAGCGTGTCCCTTGGCTCGTCGGGAGCCAAGCGTGTCCCTTGGCTCGTCGGGAGCCAAGCGTGTCCCTTGGCTCGTCGGGAGCCAAGCGTGTCCCTCGGCTACCCAACACGTTTGGCTCCTACCGTTGCGGGCGCTTGGTCAGGGGGGGACGTCCAGCAGGTAGGGCTGGCATACCACCCCACCCCCCTCACCCCACCGCACCCCTAGAGCACACCCCTAAATCTCACCATTGCGGGCGCTTGGTCAGGAGGGGACGTCCAGCAGGTAGGGATGGCATACCACCCCAGCTGAATCATGTCGTTGTACGTGCGCTGGCGATCTGGCAGGGAGGGGTCTCCTGGGGTCCCTCCCTTTACCGCCGCCTGTAAAGAGAGAAAGAAAGGGGTTGAAATGAGACAAGAGAATGAGATGAAACAACTCCATGTCGTTGTATGTGCGCTGCTGAGCCGGCAGGGAGGGGTCTCCTGGGGTTCCTCCCTTCACCGCCACCTGTGAAGAGAGAACAGGGGGGGCGCAATGTGATGAGACAAGGGAATGAGATGAAGCGACTCCCTGCTGCACCATGTCGTTGTATGTATGCTGAGCGGGCAGCGATATGGAAATCACTTTTGAGAATTCTCAAAAGTGTATGCTGAGCCGGCAGCGTGGGGTCTCCTGGGGGTTCCTCCCTTCACCGCCACCTGTAAGGAGGGGGAATGATAGCAGGAGAGGGATCAGCAGGAGGAAATGAGTGAGAGGGGAGAAAAAGCACCCAGCCCAGCTGAATCATGTCGTTGTATGTGCGCTGCTGAGATGGCAGCGAGGGGTCCCCCGGGGTCCCCCCCGCCACTGCCTCCTGTGAAGCGGGAGTGCAAGCGAGAAGGGTGGGGGGACTATCTGAAGAGGGAAGGGGCTGGCATACCACCCCAGCTGAATCATGTCGTTGTATGAGCGCTGCTGAGATGGGAGCGAGGGGTCCCCCGGGGTTCCTCCTTTCACCGCCACCTGTAAAGCAGGAGAATGAGAGCAGGAGAGGGAGGGAATGAGCAGGAGGGAATGAGTGAGAGGGGAGATGAAGCACCCATTCCAACTGCAGTGCTAGAGAAACCATGAGTTACGATCACTCGCACACTTTTGGAGCAACCGCAAGCCCAGTGCAAGGACAGCTGATATTAATGTACCCCCCAAACAGGACCGGCGCTCACCTGGAAGAAGCGCACGAAGAATGCCAGAAAGTCCGCCAGGGCTTCCGTTGACCAGAGAGACACGTGGCCGCTCACTGCCCTGACGCGCACACTGTTGGACTGCATGCCCAGTGCAAGCCTTGTCTCCCAGACAGACCCCCGCATATACCCATGGCTGGAGCCACACTCGCCTGGAAGAAGAGCACGAAGAATGCGAGGAAATCCGCCAGAGCTTCCGTTGACCAGAGAGACACGTGGCCGCTGGTTGCATTCATGCATGCGCACACTGCTTGACCGCATGCCTAGAGCAAGCCTTGACTTACAGACGGACCCCAGCATACACCCACAGCTGAGACTGCCACCCACCTGGAAGAAGATCACGAAGAACGCAAGGAAATCCGCCAGAGCTTCCGTTGACCACAGAGACACGTGGCCGCTGGTTGCATTGATGCGCACACTTTTGGACCGCACGCAGAGAGCAAGCTTTGCCTCCGGCAGGTGTGACTGTACGAACTGCGTGACATTAACGAATAGAAGCACGTCACAGTCGGTGTAAAACACCCGGGAAATGTTTCTTCTGACCATCATTTCGTGTAGGAAGAACCAGCGGATATGATACGCCTTCAAATTCCCTATCCCCTCTACAAGCTGCTCCTCTATATGGGCTGACTCCTCATAATCCTCGTATGCTTCTAACTCAATGCCGAGTTCGGTCATTTCTTCCCGGCACGCGCGCGGGCCAATGAGAATGACCCACGTGTTGTGCAGCAGTGCCTGGCGGAGAGACGCCTGCATGTACCTCCTCCGGTTGCAACCTGCCTCCCCCCGCAGAAACTGCACCACTGGAATCATGCCTGGGTGGGTGTTGCCTGATTGGGTGGACTTTTGAGGCGCATTGAAAGCACGAGTTGCTGAGGCGCTATCTGCATGATCAGTGGAAATGCTGCCATCAGTACCGCTACTGGTGGTGGCATCGCTGCTCTCAGCTGCTGCTGCTGCTGCCGCTCCTGTCCCTTGTGCCGCCCCTGGTGTCGCCCCTGCCCTTTGTGCCGCCCCTGCCCTTTGTGCCGCCCCTGGTGCCGCCCCTGCCCTTTGTGCCGCCCCTGATGCCGCCCCTTGTGCTGCCATAGGAACACTGCCAGCGTCAGCAGCAGGAGTAGCAGCAGCAGGGTTAGCAGGGTGAGCGGGAGCAAGAGGGTTATGAGGAGGAGCAGAAGCATGAGGGTGAGTGGGAGTAGCGACCCCGGGAGCCTGCATTGCTGGAACGCTGGTGCTGAGCGGGAGGAGGGTCAGCAGAGGAAGCTTCTCGTTCCTTTCCTGCTGCTGACGCAGCTGCTGCTGACGCATCTCCTCCTGCTGCAGAAGATCCGATATGACTGGTGCGTTGGCTGCTGACGAGGCTGCTGCTGACGTGGAATGCAAGGCAGACAGCCCCCCATCCGCTGAGTGGCCTGGAAAACGCTTCAAGAGGTCGATCAAAGTCATGTCTGCGAAAAGGAGGAACGCTATAGCGAGTACGACTGCCCTGTAGGAATGAGGACAGGGAGGGGAGGTTGGGGGAGGTAAGGGGGAGGTAGTGGGGAGGTAGTGAGAGGGGGAGGGTGGTAAGAGGCAAGTAAGGGGAATGAGAGAAAGATGATTGGGTGGGGAGATTGGTGGAGGTGGGAAGAAGGGTAAGGGGGGACAAGATCGACCATCCCATGCCATGCCATGCCATCACATGCCATGCCATGCCATCCCATGCCATCCCATGCCATCCCATGACATCCCATGCCATGCCATGCCATCACATGCCATGCCATGCCATGCCATGCCATCCCATCCCATGCCATGCCATGCCATGCCATGCCATGCCATGCCGTGCCATCCCATCCCATCCCATCCCATCCCATCCCATCCCATCCCATCCCATCCCATCCCATCCCATCCCATCCCATCCCATCCCATCCCATCCCATCCCATCCCATCCCATGCCATGCCCCGCTCCATTACTCATGCAAAACACGCTCAGCAGCAGCCATACCGTACCAAACCACACCGCATCGCACCTCACCACACCACGCCGCACTCCGCTACTCACGCACAACGCGGTCAGCACGAGGAGGACGGATGCGGGCCCACTCCGCGCCGCCATCCAGACAGCTTGCTGCACCGTCAAGTCCTTAATCGATAAGAGGTAACTGTCTTATCGGAGATGCTTTCTATATAAACGCGCCCGATAAACGCGCAGGCGCCTTCTAGCCGCGCAGGCGCATTCAATGCGTCTTCCCAACGCGTCCGCCCTCCGCGCGGTTGACGTCACGGTCGCGACGTCCGCACTTTCAGCCCTGCGCGCGCGGAAGTGTGTGCCTTTCCGCCATCGCTTGCGCTTCGGCGAGCAGCCGCTGCTCCACAGGGCGACACGTGGAAGGGGAGTGGCGATAATCCCATCTAGGTCAGCGTCGCGGAGCGCTGTGGGTGGCATCTACAGCAGTACTGTACCAGTTTCAGTTCAGCCAGCTGGGGTTGCCTGTTTGGACGGTTGTACGGACGGAATTTCGCCTCTCACGATTGTATGGACGAACTTTCGCGCCTTCACGATTGTACGGACGAAACTTGGCGCCTTTACGAGACTCGATTGAGGGGCACCCGGAAATAGTTACAATCGAGAAACGAATAGAAACTGACTTGAGAGTTCTAACAGACTATTATGAAGGGAACACACAAATTACATCAACGCATTTATCGTGAATGCTAGTGTATCCCTGTTCGTTTATACTCGCATAGATTCAGGTCACGTTACGTATGGTGATGGATCGTCCAATATAAAGCAGTCACCGCATTGAAACCCCGTGTCGTGCATTCATAACGTTCAGAACCGTTTTGAAATCCTGACGACGGTCGTGACCCACACAGTTTGGAACACGTCAATGTGGCACAGTTTCGGTCTGTTCCCAACCCTCATCCAGTGTGTCGAATGTGACGGGTCCTCGTTGCCATGTCAATACAGCATATATGATCCCATATTGGGGCTTTGTAGCGGTATCTATTGCCATGTCCTCCTTATAGTGCAATGCAGCCACACCTATTTGTGTATACCATGGCACATTCTCCTTTGTGCCATCCTCATACTGGTATTGGAGAAATATATATGGGCATGCTTGATTATTCTAAATTCACCATAGAAAAACATTCACATCACAACCACCGTAAGATCAATCCTTGCTGGAGCCCCAAGTAACACAGGGATCGTCGTCCTTCAATTGTGATTTCTTCCTGCCCTGAAAGTGTACCGCCAATAACTGGACAGCCTCCCCTTTGTTCTGCCCCCTACCCACAAACGGCTTGAAATACTCGTAGCGCACTGAGGTTGGTGTCTTCATGCCTTCTCTCGGGCAGTAGTGAAACTTTCTCTTCTTGCCCTGGGATCAGAACACAACAAAAGATTGGACAGAAGGGACGGCAGGCAAGCGTTATACTTAATCATGCCAGGATCTTAAAATACAATGCCATACATTACAATGCAGACAGTGCCGTACAATGCCAGACAACGCCGTAATGTGTTGTACAACTTTGCACCACACTCTCAACGGAGAAGTTGTTATCGAAATCGAAGGTGCATCACCCGGCATCGCTCCAAGCACCGGCGGTAATACTACAACACCAACCCCCCCCCCCCCCCCCCTCCCCGATAACTGTGCAGCATAACTACAACATTTTAGAATGGCACTCACAACAGAGAAGTTGTTGTCGAAGGCACACCACCCGGCATCGCTCCACGCACTCGCCTCGCACTGCCGGGGCGCACACAGCGACTCCGCCTTGAAGGCTGGCTGGAACTTGCCGTGCATGAGCGGGTACTGGGCTGACTTCTCCTTGTCCTTGCACTGCCATGGGGAAGGGAAGGGAGAGGGGAAAGGGGGAAACCGAGAAAGGGAGAGGGTGGAAGGGAAGGGGGAAAGAGGAAAAGCTGGGAGGCGAGACCTTGCCGTGCAGGTGGGGGTACCGGGGGGATTGTTCCACCTGACCGGCTCCGGTCCCCCTGACCGGCTTGGTCCCCCTGACCGGGTCCGCTGTCCTTGCACTGCTGATGGAGGCGATGGGCAGGAGGGGCTGCAGGAGGCCCCTCCTTGTCCAGGAGGCGATGGGCAGGAGGGGGGATTGTTCCTTGTCCTTGCACTGCCGATGGAGGCGATGGGCAGGAGGGGGGATTGTTCCTTGTCCTTGCAGTGCCGATGGAGGCGATGGGCAGGAGGGGGGATTGTTCCTTGTCCTTGCAGTGCCGATGGAGGCGATGGGCAGGAGGGGGGATTGTTCCTTGTCCTTGCAGTGCCGATGGAGGCGATGGGCAGGAGGGGGGATTGTTCCTTGTCCTTGCAGTGCCGATGGAGGCGATGGGCAGGAGGGGGGATTGTTCCTTGTCCTTGCAGTGCCGATGGAGGCGATGGGCAGGAGGGGGGATTGTTCCTTGTCCTTGCAGTGCCGATGGAGGCGATGGGCAGGAGGGGGGATTGTTCCTTGTCCTTGCAGTGCCGATGGAGGCGATGGGCAGGAGGGGGGATTGTTCCTTGTCCTTGCACTGCCGATGGAGGCGATGGGCAGGAGGGGGGATTGTTCCTTGTCCTTGCACTGCCGATGGAGGCGATGGGCAGGAGGGGGGATTGTTCCTTGTCCTTGCACTGCCGATGGAGGCGATGGGCAGGAGGGGGGATTGTTCCTTGTCCTTGCACTGCCGATGGAGGCAATGGGCAGAAGGGAAGGAAAGGACAAGGGAGTTGGTCTTTTGAGGCGCCTCAAAAGTCGGGTACTGGGGGGATTGTTCCGCCTGAGGCTCCGGTTTCCCTGACCGGGTCTGCTGTCCTTGCAGTGCCGATGGAGGCGATGGGCAGGAGGGAAGGAAAGGACAGCGGTGCCGGTCAGAGGGACTGTTCCAGCAGGTAGGGCTGGCATACCATACCACCCCACCCCAGCTGCACCATGTCCTTGTATGGCAGCAGGGAGGGAGAGGAAGAAAGGGAGAGGGGGAAAGACGGAGTGCAGGGGCCGGTTGCACACAGTGTTTGAAGAAGTGTTTTGAGACGTCTCAAAACACTTCTTGAAAGACGGAGTGCAGGGGCCGGTTACACGCAGTGCCTCAAGGAACACAGTTCCTATACCTCACCGTTTTGGGCGCTTGGTCTGGAGGGGAGGTCCAGCAGGTAGGGCTGGCATACCACCCCAGCTGCACCATGTCGTTGTATGTGCGCTGCTGAGCTGGCAGGGAGGGGTCGCCTAGGGTTCCTCCAGCTACCGCCTCCTGTACGGGGAGGGTGAGATTGAGGGAATACTTGCGTGCATGATGAGAGGGAGGGAATGAGATTGTGAGAAGGGATGAAGCAGCACCCATGGCATACACCACCCCAGCTGCACCATGTCGTTGTATGTGCGCTGCTGAGCTGGCAGGGACGGGTCGCTGACATGGCAACACTCCACCCATAGTTGAGACTCCCACTCACCTGATTCGGCACTGGTGAAGGCTTGCTAGGGGGCTCCCTACAGCCGAGACATGTTTGTCCGTCCGTGTTTTAGCCGAAACATGTTTGTCCGTGTTTTAGCCACAGCTTAGTGAAGAGCTTCGACTTTACAGAACCCTACGTGAACTAGCTAGGTTCTTTCTACAACTGTTTTCTCCTTTGCTAAACCTTCTACCTAAAACTGCTGCTCGCTGGATTGTCTAACAATTCACAGCAGCTGACATGGCAACACTCCACCCACAGCTGAGACTGCCACTCACCTGAAAGAAAACCACAAAGAGGGCGAGGAAATCCGCGAAAGCGTCAACCGTCCAGAGTGAGACGTGGCCGCTGACTGCCCTGATGCGCACACTGTGCGACCAACCAACCGCATACCCACCCACGGCTGGGACTGGCACTTGCCTGAAAAAAAGGTGACAAAAAACGCCAGAAAGTCCGCCAGGGCTTCAACCGACCACAAGGAGACGTGCACTGCTGCGCACACTGTTTGATCTTATTCCGAGCAATGACACACCCAGAGCTAGTTGACTTTTGAGTCGACTCAAAAGTCAACTCAATGACACACCCAGAGCTGCCACTTGCCTGGAAGAAAATAACGAAAAACGCCAGAAAGTCCGCTAGAGCCTCCATGGACCAGAGAGAGACGTGCCCGCTGACTGCCCTGATGCGCACACTGTTGGATCGCATGCCCAGCGCTAGCTTTGCTTCTGGCAGGTGTGACTGTACGTACTCCGTGACATTAACGAATAACAGCACGTCACAGTC